CAGCCTGTGTAGGCGGCCGTGGGTTCAGACCCGAGGTGACGTGGTCACTGTGGGTTCCCACAGGGATGGCGCATTGTGGCTGGGGCTGTGGCTGGGCCCGTGGTGGCTGGGGCTGGGGCTGTGGTGGCTGGGGCTGGGGGGCCCGTGGTGGCTGGGGCTGGGGCCGTGGTGGCTGGGGCTGGGGCCCGTGGTGGCTGTGGCTGGGGCCGTGGTGCTATGGTTGGGGGCCGTGGTGGCTGGGGGCCGTGGTGGCTGGGGCTGGGGCCCGTGGTGGCTGGGGCTGGGGCCCGTGGTGGCTGTGGCTGGGGCCCGTGGTGGCTGTGGCTGTGGCTGGGGCTGTGGCTGGGCCCGTGGTGGCTGGGGCTGGGGCCGTGGTGGCTGGGGCTAGGGCCCGTGGTGGCTGGGGCTGGGCCCGTGGTGGCTGGGGCTGGGGGCCGTGGTGGCTGTGGCTGGGGGGCCCGTGGTGGCTGGGGCTGGTACACCAGAAACCCCACGCCATGGCCAAGAGAAGCATCTGCAGGCAGCCAGACCAGGACTCATTATTATTATTGTTTTTTAAATATTTTTATTGATTTGAGAGAGAGAGAGGAAGGGAGAGGGGAGAGGGGGAGAGGGGGAGAGAGAGACATCGATCCGCTGCTTCCTGCACGCCGGCCCCTGGGGATGGAGCCAGAGCCCAGATGGAGGGTGAAGCCGGGCCCAGGGCTGTCAGCCTCGCCCCAGCCAGGGTCCCGGACGCCCTGGGCAGAAGCCACAGGCAGGGGCTGCTCCGGCCCGGGCAGCAGGGCCGCCCCGGCCCCGTCCTGGGCAGAGGACTCGGCGGAGGCCCACAGAGCCTGCCCTCGTCCCCTGACCCTGGACCCTGCCCCTGCCCCCCCCCCCCCCGCCTCCACAGAGCCTGCCCCCCCCTCCGAGGAGCGGGGGCAGCTGGCGCCGGCTCCTGCATCCCCTGTGGGCGGGTCCCGCCCCCTCCCGCCCCCCTCCCGCCCCCTCCCGCCCCCTCCCGCCCCCTCCCGCCCCTCGGGCTGCAGGCCCTGCAGCGGAGACCCTGGCCCAGGCTGGCCCTGTCTCACCAGGTGGCATGGGGTCCCTGATGCTTCCCGCACGAGACCCCAGCTCTCCTCCACCACCCGTCCCGGTTCCTGCTCTCGTCTCAGGAACGGAGGGCCTGGCTCATGGGGCCCCTGCTGCCCCAGGCTCCCCCCCCCCCCCCCCGCAGGAAGGCCCGGGCGGCGGGGGCACGTGGGGTTCAGTTTTTGTAACCCACTCACCTCGACCTGTACCACCCAGGAAACCAGTCATCGTCCGTCCCACCCTGCAGCCGCCTCTCCCAGAGGCCAACGTCTGCACCTCGAATGGCGCCAGCCGGGCTCTGCGGCCGGGCCACGTCCACACGCTCCGTCCGGCTGCCCCTGAGTCAGGCCAAATGGACCTTCAAGCTGTGGCGGCTGGGGCTGCTGGTGGTCAGCCCATCCCGCTGCCCAGGAAGGTCAGGGCTTCTGCAGCCCCGGCCCCAGCAGGGACCCTGAGCCCCGCCACGGGCCTGAACCCCCTGGGCTCCACGCCCTGCAGCGGGCTCTGCGCCCGCGTGTCCATGCCCGTGTCCATGTCTGTGTCCATGCCCGTGTCCATGTCCGTGCCCGTGTCCGTGCCTGTGCCCGTGCCCGTGCCCGTGTCCGTGCCCGTGTCCATGTCCGTGTCCATGCCCGTGCCCGTGCCCGTGTCCGTGCCCGTGTCCATGTCCGTGTCCATGCCCGTGTCCGTGCCCGTGTCCGTGTCCGTGCCCGTGTCCGTGCCTGTGCCCGTGCCCGTGCCCGTGTCTGTGCCTGTGCCCGTGCCCGTGTCCGTGCCCGTGTCCGTGCCTGTGCCCGTGTCCGTGTCCGTGTCCGTGCCCGTGTCCGTGTCCGTGTCCGTGCCCGTGTCCGTGTCTGTGTCCGAAGGGGAGGGGCACGCAGGGAAAGGGGCGGGCAGGGCAGGGACCGGCGGTGAGGCCCGGACAGGCCCCGGTGCAGAGCTCCGTGCAGGGCCCCTGTGGGGTGCGGGCTCCGGGGGCTGGGGGGAGAAGAGCTGGGTGCGGAGGGGGGTCCACTTTCTTGTACTTGGGTTTCTCGGTCTCTGAGCCAGAGTGAACCAGGAGCTGCGGGTGTAAAGATCACAGCCGCCGGCGTCCAACCCTGGGAGCTCCGGTTGGCCCGAGGCCAGGGCTCAAAGGCGACCAACAGTGATCGGCGGGCAGAGGGCGCCGGGCTCTCCCCGCCCACCTGCTCCGGCCCCGCCCCGCCCCGCTCAGGCCCTGCCCCTCTCAGGCCCCGCCCAGGCCGACCTAAGCCCCGCCCACGCCCACACTCGGTCCCACAGGCCCCGCCCGGGTCCCGCCCATCCGGGACGACTGGACTGGAACCCCAGGCGCTGGTCTCTGCGCTCTGGAGAGGCCTTGGGGCCCCCTGTGGAAGGGGGCTCAGGGTGCAGGTTGGCAGACAGACACATACCAGGAATGGACCCCATCAGGCCAAACCTATGCCCGACCCTAAGCGCCACCAGCTGGGGCGGGAGGCCGGGGTCCTGAGGGCTGGCTTCAGGCCCGTGGGGCGCTCTAGCCAGGAAGAGGGGGTGGCCAGAGGCCGACGGGCAAAAGGGGTGCCATGGTGTCTGCTTATTTGAGGCCGGCGCCGGGAGCTGCCTGTCCCGGCTCCTGACTGCCTGCGGCCTTCAGGGTGGAGAGCAAAGTCCGGCCCCGTCTGTCCCCTCCCGCCTCACCGCACTCACCGCACACACACTGAGACTGACCGCAGAGACAAGGGCTGCCCAGCCATGCTGGCCACCTGGCCACCTAGGAAGGCGCTGAAGCCTGGGCAGGGACTGGGCCCATGGGCACGCAGAGGGCAGCAGCAGCACACCCACCAGAACCAGGGCTTCCTGGCAGCTGTTGGTCCCCACCCTATCGGGAGGTTCCACAGAGGGGTCCGGGGCTGAGATTCAGGGTCCCATCACCACCAGATCACAACTGACCCCTTGCTTGGCAGGCCTGGCTGTGTGCAGGTGGAGCCCCACAAACATGGTTCTGAGGGTGTGTGTGTGTGTGTATATATATATATATATATGAAACACAATGTTTCCAAGGTTCGCCCATGTTGTAACAGGTGTCACAACTGCATTCCTCTGATGACGCAGTAATTTTCCATTGTGTGGAGAGTTTGTGTGTCCATTTGCCCGTTGGCGGACATTACCTGCTGCCCGCTTTTGGCTATTATGAATAACGAGCGGCCTGGCGCACGAAATTCATGCATGGGCCTGGCCTGTGATCAGGGCTGCTTCCTTCCTCCAGCTGCCGGCTGCCGGCTGCTGGTCGGGGCCTTCCTTCGTTCTGCGCTGCCCCCTGGTGGTCAGCGCACGTCATATCAACGTCATATCAACCTCATTTAGCCATAACCGGTTTGGCTCAGTGGATGGGGCGTCCGCCTGCAGACTCGAGGGTCCCAGGTTCGATTCTGGTCAGGGGCACAAACTTTGGTTGCTGGCACATCCCCAGTGGGGGTTGTGCAGAAGGCAGCTGATCGATGTTTCTTTCATTGATATTTCTAACTCTATCCCCATCCCTTCCTCTCTGTAAAAAAAAAAAAAACAAAAAAAATCCCTGAAACCGGTTTGGCTCAGTGGTAGAGCGTCGGTCTGCGGACTGAAAGGTCCCAGGTTCTATTCCGGTCAAGGGCATGTACATTGGTTGTGGGCACATCCCCAGTAGGGGGTGTGCAAGAGGCAGCTGGTTGATGTTTCTCTCTCATCGATGTTTCTAACTCTCCCTCTCCCTTCCTCTCTGTAAAAAATCAATAAAATATATTTTTAAAAAAATCAATAAAATATATCTTTAAAGAAAATAAAGAAAGAAATAAATCTCATTTAAATGGAGTACGGAGGCCTGAAGGGGGAGCCCTCACACATGATTCCAGGTCAAGTACATCCCAATGGGAAGAATCTGTTACAGACTCAACAGGAAAAGACACCCGCACTCCCAGCCAGATGCGTCCCCACTACCCAGCGGGAGGAAGGCCCCAGCGGGAGGAAGGGAGAATCTCTCCTGCCCAGCAAGCCCAGCCAGTGGGAACCATGGCAACTAGGCCAAGGAGCAGCCACCACCACCCGACTCTGTCCTGCAACCGGCTTTCACTCACATGCCTCTCTCTCTCTGAGGGACCCCCTCTCCTCTGCCACTGGACTTGCCCCGAGTTTCCGCGATAGCATGTCTGTCCTGGACTGCAATCCTCTGGGGTTCCGGAATAAACCCACTTTTCTGGTCAATAACTGGCTGTTTCAATTTCATTTTTACAAATATATATTTTTATTGATTTCAGAGAGGAAGGGAGAAATAGAAACATCCATGGTGAGAGAATCATTGATCGGCAGCCTCCTTCATGCCCCACCCTGGGAATGGATCCCACAACCCGGGCCTGTGCCCTGACCAGGAATCAAACTATGACCTCCTGGTTCATAGGTCAGTGCTCAACTACTGTGGGCCTGGCTCTTGGCTCTTTTATTTTTTTAAATAACTGGCTGTGAACCTGTATGCCTAGGAGGCGAATTGCTGGTCATATGGTAACTGTTTAACTGAGTTGCTGTCAGACTGTTTCTCGGAGGGGCTCAGGGCTACAGGTTTTTGGGGGCCGGTCTATATCAACAAATTGAGACACCCCAAATCAACACATCTCACTGTTCCAACGAGCAATTTCACGAGATCCTGCAGGCTGGAGTCCGGAGGGCCTGACAGCTCTGGTCCCTCGGAGCTGGGGCAGGGGCTCCACCAGGAAGGCGCTCCAGGAAAGCGGGGCTGGGGGGCCGGCTGCGGTCAGGCCGCCAGAGGAGGGGGGTTAGGGGACCCCAGCCTCTGGCGGCTCTCAGCAAGCCGCAGCCGGTTACCTAGCAACCGGGCGGCATCCTTCCCAGCAAGCACCACTTCTAATCCTTGAGGTCGGAGACTACGAGGCCCAGCATGCCCCGCGGCCCAGGATGCGGACTACACGTCCCACAATGCACCGCCTACCCTTTCCTAGCCGCCCCCGGCCCCCGCTCTCCGGAGACCCCGCCGGCGAGCGCCGCGACCCCTTCCCTTCCCGGCGCTCCGCGCGCGGCGCTCTCGCGGTGACCCGGGGAGCGTGAGGTCAGCGTGCGCCGGAGCGGCTCGGCCGAGGCGCCATGCGGAGGGGCGAGCGCAGGGGCGCCGGGGGGCCGCGGCCGGGGTCCCCGGTCCCCGCGGGCAAGGCCGCGCTGGAGGAGCCGCCGGACGGCGCGCCCGCCGGCCGCCGCAGCACCGAGTCCGAGGTCTACGACGACGGCACCAACACCTTCTTCTGGTGAGGGGGTCCCGGGGCGCGGGGTCCCGGGGCGCGGGGGCGTGGCCACGCGTGGGCTCCGGGGACCGGGCTGGGGCCGGCCCGCGGCCGCCGGGGTCCCAGCGGCTCCCTCCCTCCCCGGAGCCCGGAGGCCGTGGCTCAGCCGCACCCGGACCGGCTTTTCCTGACCTCCCGGCGGGCGTCCGCCTCTGGCCCCGCCGCCGCCGCCGCCCAGGCGCCGGGGTCGGGCCGCCGGGCCGCGGGGGACCGGGGAGGCGGGGGGCCGGGGCGCGGGGGGCCGGGGGCGGCGCTCCGCCGGGGCAGCTCCGCTCCGGCCCGCGCGGCGCACTCGCCGCTGGAGCGGCCGGCGGCCCCGGCGCTCCCTGCCGCTGGCTCTGACCTTGGTCTAACCCTTCACCCCCGCCCCGCTCCCGCGGAGAGCCCGCCATGCGGGGCGCGCCGGTGCCTCTCCGGCCTGTGAGCCCGGGGGTGGCGCTGGGCTCTGCCCCCCAAAGCGGGGCGGCCGGAGGGGCCCCAGGGAACGGCTCCCCGGAGGACCCCGGGGCGGGACACCGGCCGCGCTGCCCCCCAAACCTCAGGGGGCGTGTGCCAGGGGCGGGGCGGGGTCCTGCTGTGTGTGTGGCGCGGGGAGGCCGGTGTGGGGGCGTCTCCTGTGGGGGCCAGCGGCTGTTACCTGTGGGGAGACTACATGCTGGGGGGGCCATGGGAGGGAAGGAGCGTGGGATGGGGTGCCTTGTCCAGGGGGGTGTGGCCCAGAGCTGGGGTCCAGGCTGCTGGGTCCTGCTGGACACGCTGTGTGCGCTCAGGCCTGCCCCGCTGTGGGGGGGAGGGGTGACCCCCGGAGACAGGTTCTGGATCCGCGCTGGGCCCTCCTGGGTGCCGGTGCCGGTGCTGGCAGCTTCTGGCACCAGCCTGGCCTCATGGGCACAGCCCCCCTCGCCGGCACTGAAGCCGAAGCTGAGCCCGCCTGTGCGGAGGGCGACGGGCCAGGAAGGAGGGCTGCGACGGGCAGGCTGGTTTGGGGCCTGCCTTGCGGTGGGGTGGGCGGCCCTGGCTCCCCACGCAGGTGTGAGGCGCGCTGTGCTCTGCCGGGGGAGGGGGGTCGGTCTGTGCGCTGCGTCCGGGCTCCCCCTTGCCTGTGCGGGTCCCGGGCTGCCTGCCCGTCCGTCCCCTCAGAGCTCAGCATTTGGCCTCGGAGTTCCCCTCGCTGACCGTGCTAGGACTTTAAAAACTCCTTTATTCCAGGGTTTTAGTAGAAATTAACTAAAGCTAAAAGCACGCATTTGTGGAAATGACTGTCCCGCCTCACTCAGGACACCGCGGCTCGGAACCTTGCTTTTAAGTTTTCCTCTTCCCAGGAGGCCGGGCTTGGGGGCCCATGATGGTGTGGAGGCCACATATGAGGATTTGGGGTTCTCTGTTACTGCTTAGCAGCCACGGGGCTGGGGCTCCCCCAAACCGAGTCCCTGGGAGGCGGTGTGAGGACCCTGCTGCTTCTGCTCATTGTGGTGCCCGCTCACATCCGAGGCCTGTTGGGGACCATGGAGAGGTGCCAGCGCCGCCCCCTGCAGGTGGCAGGCCGCGGGTATCAGGCTTCCTGACTCCTGGGACGTGGGAGTGCCCGCCGTGGGCCGCACCGAGCGCACCTGTCTCGGTCACTGTGGGGAGGGTTTGCCGGCTTCGCCCGCCTGTGGGAAGGGTGACGCCCAGCTTTTGCCTGTCGGTGTGTGGTCAGCATCACAGCCCCACGCCCCCTGCACGTCCGGGCCTGGCCTCTGCCCCGCCGCCCCTGGCCGAGGCGCTGGGCACGTGTCTGGCCACACCTGTGTTTTCTCGGGCGGGCTGGCAGGCCTGGTGAGTGGTGACTGACTGCCGGGCATTTTCCACTGGCGGGCGGAGCGCCAGCTGTCCTCACGCCCGAAAGTCACAGGGTTTCCAGCTGCTGCGTCCTGTCCGATCACAGGGCCCACCCCTCCCCAGGTGACGCACTAGCCACCAAGCACAGGGTGCACACCTGCCCCGAGGGAGGGGTGCGGGCAGAGCAGGTCTGCCTGCCGTCTCCTCAGCCCCTCCTCATGCCTTCCACGCGAGTGGAAACGGCCGTGAGCGAGGAGGAGCGTTTTCTGTTAACCACGCTCGCAAGGTAACACTGCGCGCTGGGAAGATGAGTGGTGGCTCAGGTCACACAGTGGCCAAGCCCATGCTGAGTCCACATGGAAGGCGCTCAGAGCTGAATGAGGGTGCTTAAGGCTAAGTACCCTGCTGTCAGCACGGAACAGCATCCAGCTGCACTTGGCCTTGGGGTAGCACAGGGGGCGCCCGTGCCTCAGGTCCTGCAGGCTGGCCCTGCCGCCTGGAGGGGCTGCGGGCTGCGGGCGCTGCCGGTCTCCTCCCGGACGCCTGGGCCACGTTTTGCCGAAGACACTTGCCTAGCATTCCACCCTCTGGGCGGGCGGCTGTCAGTCCCATGGCTGGGCCCTGGTGGGCACCTCCTGCGGCCGGTTACTTCGTGGCCGTGTGCGAGGAGGGGAGGAGCACTGTGGCCGCCCCTGAGGCCGGCGAGCACTGGCCGGAGGGTCCCGCTCCCCTCCTCCCAGCCTGGTCTCGGGGCCGTTCTGTGGCCCCCGTCCTGACCTGGTGCCCACAGGCCGTTTCGCACTTTCTGGCGTGTTGTCTCTGTGACCATTCAGTGACGCTGAGTCCGGGGTGCGGTTCCCTGAGCTTTCGCACACGTGGCTCCTGTAACCCTCACAGGAGGCCAGCCGCCGCCCACCTGCAGGCTCTCCCCTCCTCCAGGCCCGCAGCTGGGCCTCCACTCTGCTGAGCGGCACCTGTGGCCGGGGCTCTGCGTTGGGTCCTGCCATCCTGGCATTCCCGGGTTCGAGTGCCGACACGCTCGCACCCAGGGCCCCCTCTTCTGCGTCCCCTTGCTGTCCTGCCTTCTCCGCTGTGTTCCGCTCAGCCACTGTGTTCTTATCTTCTCCTTTAAAAAATAAGTTTTTATTGATTGTTAGGAAGGGAGAGGAAGAGAGAGAGAAACATGGATAAGAGAGACATGCATTGTCTGCCTCCTGCACACCCGCTCCTGGGCATGGAGCCTGCAACCCAGCCTGACCTTTGACCAGAATAGAACCGTTAACCTCCTGGTTCATACACTCAACCACTGAGCCACACTGGCCGGGCACCATGTTCTTATTTTCTGCCTGGTGTTCGGAGTGTTGCTCTAGGGCAGTGGTCGGCAAACTCATTAGTCAACAGAGCCAAATATCAACAGTACGATTGGAATTTCTTTTGAGAGCCGGATTTTTTTAAACTTAAACTTCTTCTAACACCACTTCTCAAAATAGAGTCGCCCAGGCCGTGGTCTTTTGTGGAAGAGCCACACTCAAGGGGCCAAAGAGCCGCATGTGGCTCTAGAGCCGCAGTTTGCCGACCACAGCTCTAGGGCCTCAGTGAAAGCCCTGAGCCCTCCCACTCAGCGGCATCCGGTGAAGGGCCGCCAGCCGGCTCCGCTGGCCGAAGGGCGTCCGGCGCTCTCCCTGGTCCTGAGACGCTGGCTGGTCCTCAGACCAGAGCAGCGCGTCCTGCGGACCCAGAGCAGCTGCCTCCCGCCCGCCGTCCGCTCCTCAGGCCCCGTGAGGCCAGCACTGCGCTAAGATCCCCCTCACCGAGCGACGGCCCTCCCAGCCCCGCCTCTTCACGGCGGTGCCTCCCTCTGCTCGGCGGCCAGTGAAGTGGCCCCGGCCCCGCGCTGGTGTTGCTATGACGGCGTGTGCTTCACGGACGCCCTGGGCTGGGCTGGCCAGTTGCTTGCTGTCTTGGCTTCCTCGCCTGTAAAACAGACATAATGCTCTGATGCTCTCCTTCCTGAGCTGCAGCAAAGACTAAGAATGAAATGTGGCCCTGACCGGTGTGGCTCAGTGGCTAGAGCGTGGGCCTGCAGACTGAGGGGTCCCAGGTTCGATTCCAGTCAAGGGCATGTACCTTGGTTGTGGGCACATCCCCACTAGGAGGTGTGTAGGAGGCAGCTGATTGATGTTTCTCTCCCATTGATGTTTCTAACTCTCTATCCCTCTCTTTTCTTCCTCTCTGTAAGAAGTCAATAAAATATATCTTAAAAAAGAATGCAATGTGGCAAGAAGAAGAGCACACACACAGGAGAAGAGCCGACTTCATGTGCATGCCTGGTGCCCTCTCCCCCGTCCCGGTGGCCGCGGGCGCCTCCGGGGCTCCCCCTCTGCCGGGGCCTGTAGTGGTCCCCGGGGAGCGGGTGTGGGCCGCCTGCCGCGCTCCCCGTGAGAGCCTTCCTTCGGAGGGTGCCCGCTGGCTCCAGGTCCCGTCCTCTCTGCAGGGCCCCGGGCGCTGGGCTGTGACGCCTTCGCAGGGGGCCCCGGCCATGTCTGAGCCGGTGATCTGCCTCTCCCACATCGGCCAAGGGCCAGGCCGGGCCTGGGGTGACCGGGGCCAGAGCCCACGCCTCCCTCAGCACCGCGGAGCTCCTCCGTGCAGGCTCCGTGAGGGTGCACCTGTGGCCCGGGGGTCCCTCACCGCCTCCCTTTCTGCTTCCTGGCTGTGGCCCGGGGGTCCCAGGCGGTCATGGCATGGCCCACAGGCTGGCCCTCGTGCCCGCGCCCCCTGCCTGCGCAGCAGCACCGGCTCAGCCGGTCCTTGGCGTGCAGCCCCCACCGCCCCAGGGGCTGAGTGCTCCTCCCCCGAGTGCAGGCTCCCCCAAGCTCGGGGCCCCCCAGCGAGGGACACTCCGCCTCTCAGAGTCGGGGTGCGTGTTGCCCGTGAGGCCTGACGGCGCTGTTTGGTCCCAGGCGCGCGCACACGCTGACCGTGCTCTTCATCCTCACCTGCGTGCTGGGCTACGTGACGCTGCTGGAGGAGACACCGCAGGACACGGCCTACAACACCAAGAGGTAAGCCGGCCGCTGCCTGCTGGGACGGGGGCGGCCAGCAGGGCTCGGGCACCAGGCGGGTCAGCCACGTTGGCGGGACGGGCTGCAGACTGTGCGGGGAGCCAGCGCTGGCCTTTGTACGTGAGGTCACCACCTGCCGGGAGTGCGGGAGGTGTCAGCGCCGTGAGAGGCCGGGCTCCTGCTGGCTGTGTCCTGCGCCTGCTGTGGGGCAGGGAGCCCCCTGCAGCTGTCCCGCCAGGCTCAGGGCTGTGCTCCCTCACGGCCCCGTCTTGTCCGCACCCATCATGCTGGCTCCACCGAGGGGTTTCTGCCCTCTCCCCCACGCCGTCTCCCGTCAGCGCCGCGGGCCCTGCTGCCCCCCGGCTGCGTGTCCGCCCCGCAGTCCGCACCGCCCCCGGCTCTGCCTCCTGCTGCTGTGCCTCCTGGCCCGGCCCCGGCTGCACTCCAGGCTGCCTGGACAGCGGTCCTGCTGGAGGCGGGAGGGGGCTGTGCTGGGCCCTGTGCCGGCGGCTGGCTCTGTGGCAGGCCCATGGGGAGGACATGGGCCCGTGGGTACAGAGACACGTCTGCCTAGAGGGGATTTCCATGTAGAACTTGGTCTTTTCTGTGAGCTTGGCTAGATTTGTTGACTTTAAAAAAAAAATGAGTAATTTGACCAGAAAAAAGTGGGCTTATTTGGGAACAGCAAAGAATTACAATGAGAACGAGCAAGCAAGCAAGTCTGAGGAGCGAGGAGAGAAGCGCTCTCTGGGGAGGAAGGCCGGTGAGGCGGGGGCCCCCTCCCGGTCCTGGCGCCGTGGCTGGGCCTGGTTCTGTTGGGCTGGCACTGCTGACCTTCCAGAGCAGCGGTTCTCAACCTGTGGTCGCCACCCTTTGCCAGGATCGCCTAGGCCGTGGGAGAACAGACGCTCACGTACGATCATAACAGCACCATTACAGTGAGGAGGCAGCAACGGAAATGACTCTAGGCGGGGGCTCACCACCTCAGGAGGAGCTGGGTTAAAGGGTCGCGGCCTTAGGAAGGTGGAGAACCTTCCCGGGGTCTGTGAGGGCGCCCCCCTCTGGCGAGACTCCGTGTGGAGGGTCCGGCACAGCCGGCAGGGAGGCCGGGCGGGCGTGGCCACTGAAGAAATGAGCAGTTCCGATGTCACAGGGCCTCGCCAGCAGGTGGCAGCACCGGGCCAGGGCTGTGCCCTGCCTGGGCCCTGGGCGGGCAGCTCCCTGCAGGGCTGACACCGCTTCTGTTCAGACCTGACCCTGAGCGCCGTGGGGCATGGTCTTCCTCAGGCTTCCACTCCAGCCGGGTGCCCCCTCTTTGGGGTTCAGCAGGTGCTGTCACTCTGGGGGGGGAGGTTACTTTTCCATGTGAGCCTGGGACCAAACAGCGCCGTCAGGCCTCACGTGCAACACGCACCCCGACTCTGAGAGGCGGGGCGTCCCTCGCTGGGGGGCCCGGAGCTCGGGGTGTAGCTCAGCACACACAGTGCAGGCCACCCCGTCAGCCAGGCCGCTTGCCCGCGGGGCAGCTCCGGGAGGGGGCCGCTCGCCGTGCCCCGCTCCCACCCGGTGGTGTGACGTCACGGCGCCGCTCCCCCCGGCTCGCACGCACATGTCCGCGGCCCGTCTGCCCCTGGCGGCACGGATGTTCACATCGCGGCATTAGTGCACACACGGTCCCCTGAAGGCCAGGAGGACCGGCCCGGACCGCCCAGGATGGCCTGCAGAACATACTGACAAGGGGCCTGCGTCCAAACTGCAGAGAGCTCTCAAAACTCCCCCGGAAGACGCGCAGGTAAAGAGGCGGCCTGGCTGGCGGAGCCGAGGGGTCAGAGGGCTGGCCTGTGCACCGAAGGGTCTGGGGTTCGATTCCCCGTCAGCATGTTCCCGGGTTGCAGGTTCGATCCTCAGCCCCCAGTCGAGTACATGCAGGAGGCAACCAGACCTCGTGTCTCTCTCACCTCAATCAGTGATTCTCTCTCTTCCCTCCCTTCCCCCTCCCCCCTTCCTTCCCTTCCGCTCCCTCTAAAATCAGTGGAAAAAATGTCCTGAGGTGAGGATTAGCGAACAAAGAGACTGGTTATTACCGGGGAAGTACAGTTTCAGGAAAGGCCTGATCTGTGCACAGGAGCATCTGGAGTGGTGACCAGCTCCAGACGAGCTCGACCGAGGCAGCAAAGCCAAGGCCAGGACCCCCTGGGCTCCCCGGGTGCCTGTCCTGTCCGTTGGTGTGAGTTCCTGTCGCCTCCAGGTCCCCAGGCTCTGGCCTCCTGCACCTGCCAGGGAATAATGTTCAGTCTGCTGCAAAGCTGCCGCTTACCAAACTGCTCTGAGTCTTAGCAAACCCAGGAGAAGGTGTTCTTTACGTGGGAAGAACCGCCGTGTTCCCAGCAGGTCCCCTCACCACGCAGGCCCTGGAGGTCTGCTCGCTGGGCCCGCCTTCCGCAGCCTGCGGCCTGGCTGCTGTCGAGGTGATGGGGCGGGCTGATGCCAGGGGGTGTGCAGGCTTCCGGCGCTGAGGGGCTCCGAGAGGCAGGCTGTGCCCCCCTGGAAACCGGGCCCTGCGAGGCCTCGGCCCCCGCAGTGGTGCCGCAGCAGCTCCTGGCCTCCCGTCCCATCGCCTGCTCGGGCACTCCGTGCCACCGTCCTCCTCCCTCCGATCCGGCCGCGGACGGCGGCGGGTGGCAGGCTGGCACTGAGCCTTGGCGTTTCGGACGCGGAGCGGGGCTCAGTGGCCACACGGACAGCGGGCTCTGCGAGCCGCACGCTCGGCTCCGGCAGCGGTTTCACTGTCTCCCGGGGACCGGGAGGAGGCCTGTCGCTGACCGACAGGAAGCCGGGGTCACGCTGTCGCAGGAAGCTGCTGAAAAGCCCTGCGGCCGCTCTTACCGTGGGGTCACACAGAATCTCCCGAGAATTCTCTCCTGAACTCCCAGCCTTCTCTCTCCCTTCTACTAGAGGCCCGGTGCGTGAAAGTCACGCTGAGGGCCGGGCACGGCGTCCAAAAGGGGGAGCCGTGCGGCCCGAGCAGGGCCCTCCGCGGTGCCCAGGCCCGGCTTCCGGCACTGCCCCCGGGGCTGTCACTGGCGGGCCGTCCCGCCCGGAGAAGCCGCGCTCACGCACACTGAGGGCTGTTTGTTCTTCGTTCGCAGAGGTATTGTGGCCAGTATTTTGGTTTTCTTATGTTTTGGAGTCACACAAGCTAAAGACGGGCCATTTTCCAGACCTCATCCAGGTAACTCGCCATTCGTGTTGTGTGTGTGCCCGCCCGCACGATTCTGCTCTGCGTGGCTGCTCTGTCTGTGCTGCTGTGCGTGCCCTGCCCGCCCGCCCCCACCCCACACCCCCGCTGTGGCATCGGAGGAGGGTGAAGGGTGCTCCTGTTCTTCCAGCCCCCCCCCCCCCCCCCCCGCTCTGCCCGCCCCCGGCGCCTGCAGGGAGGGCAGCCGTGCCTTGGGCGAGAGGCGTCGGCCTGCACGGAGGCGCTGTCTGCGCACGTGGTCGGTCCCGCCCGAAGCTGGGGAGTCCTGATGGCCCAGCCCCGCCCGTCCGCCTGGGAGGCTCCGGCTCCCTGGGCACTGACGTTTCCTTCCCTCTCAGCAGGGCGTGTATTTACTGTGGAAAACTTGGAAAATGCAAAACTATTTTTAAGTGAAAATACACTCACCAGCTGACACTGCAGAGCCGTGATGTGTAGACGTCTGTATGGACGTTGTTTCACACATTGGAGGCGTGAGATGGCCTCACGTCACCCACTTCCACACAGCTGACACGGTGTCTCCTTCTGTGTTCGACAGCTGGGCCCGTCCGTCCTCCCTCCCCCCCCCCCCTTCCTCCTTCCCCCCTTCCCCCCCCCTCCCTCTCCCCCCTCCCCCCTCCCTCTCCCCCTTCCCCCCTCCTCCCCTCCCCACAGGACACTTTTCCCATTGACTTTTTTAGAGGGAGGGGAGCGGGAGGGGGGGGAGAGTGACATAAGAGGCACGTTGATGGGCTGCCTCCTGGGGACGAGCCTGCACCCGAGGAACTGGCCCTTGGCCGGGAATCAAACCGAGAACCTTTGGTCCTTGGGCCGACGCTCTGACCGCTGAGCACGGGCCAGGGTGGCGGCTGGACTCGGCCGCTTGCTCAGCCGCACGGGAATGTGCCCCGTGGACCGGTTCCCGTGAGGCTCCCGTCCCAGAGCCGCAGGGAGCTCCCCGCCCCCGTGCGCACACCTGGGCTCGCCATCGGAGCCCGGGAGCCCGACTGCCACGGGCCCTCGGCCGTGTGGGAGGCTAGTGGGCACCGTGCTTCTGAGCCCCAGGAGGCCCAGCCACGAGGGCTCGGGGCTGGAGGGGCCCCCTGGGCTGCAGGGCCTGCCCCAGGTCTGACTCGCTCCGGCCTCTGCCTCCGGCCGGGAGCCGCTGCGGGCAGTTGGGCCATGTGAGAGGGAGAGGCTGGCGTGGAGCTCGGCCTAAGCTGGTCCGTGCCCAAGTCCCCGCGCACCCTCACGGCATGGGCACAGGCACCGGCACGGGTGAGGGGCAGCTGCCGCCCTGGCCGGTGCGCCTGCAGCAGCCCTGGCTCAGCCAGCTCTGCCCGCCTCTCCCGGCCGCTCTGCCCGCCTCTCCCGGCCGCTCTGCCCGCCTCTCCCGGCCGCTCTGCCCGCCTCTCCCGGCCGCTCTGCCCGCCTCTCCCGGCCGCTCTGCCTGCCTCTCCCGGCTCTGCACTCCTCTCCCAGCCACTCTGCCCGCCTCTCCCGGCCGCTCTGCCCGCCTCTCCCGGCCGCTCTGCCTGCCTCTCCCGGCCGCTCTGCCCGCCTCTCCCGGCCGCTCTGCCCGCCTCTCCCGGCCGCTCTGCCTGCCTCTCCCGGCTCTGCCCGCCTCTCCCGGCCGCTCTGCCCTCCTCTCCCGGCCGCTCTGCCCTCCTCTCCCGGCCGCTCTGCCCTCCTCTCCCGGCCGCTCTGCCCGCCTCTCCCGGCCGCTCTGCCCGCCTCTCCCGGCCGCTCTGCCCGCCTCTCCCGGCCGCTCTGCCCGCCTCTCCCGGCCGCTCTGCCCGCCTCTCCCGGCCGCTCTGCCCGCCTCTCCCGGCCGCTCTGCCCTCCTCTCCCGGCCGCTCTGCCCGCCTCTCCCGGGCGGCCCTGCCCGCCTCTCCCGGCTGCTCTGCCCTCCTCTCCCGGCCGCTCTGCCTGCCTCTCCCGGGCGGCTCTGCCCTCCTCTCCCGGCCGCTCTGCCCGCCTCTCCCGGCCGCTCTGCCCGCTTCTCCCGGGCGGCCCTGCCCGCCTCTCCCGGCCGCTGGCCCGCAGACTCCCGGTCCTGGCCTGGGGCTGGCTGAGTGGAGCTGCCCGGCCCCTTTGCCCAGGGCTGAGCCAGTGGTTGGCACGGCTCCCCCGAGGCGAATGCCCGGCCTGCGTGGCACCGGGGAGGGCACGGGGGCTCTGGCCCACAGAGCAGGGTTGTGGGCGTCACTGGGAGGAGGCTCTGGGTTTCTCTCTGGAAACCTGGCTTCCCGCAGAAGGCACTTCCCTTCCTGCCTCTCCCTCCGGCGGCCGGGCCGGGCAGATCCAACGTTCGGAGCTGGAGCCCAGCCTCCTGGTGGTGGAAATGGGGGGGGCACCCAGGTGACAGTGAGGGGGCCACCCGCTGTGCTGGCAGGCGGGGTCTGGGTGCACACAGCAGGGGGGAAGGAATGCCTTCAGGCTTGGTGGGGCCCATGGGGAGCGATGTGTGGGGCGCCTGTAGGCGGGAGGCCCCAATTCTTGGGGTGAGGGCGGCCCCGGGATTTCACCATCAGCCCAGTGTCCGCTATCACAGCCCTGGACCAGGGAGAACTTTCCGAGCTTTTGCCGCTGAGCGCAAGGAGGACCCCCCTGCTCTGCCCAGGCCCAGGCTCAGCCGACGCCCTAGGCCAGGGGTCGGCAAACTCATTAGCCCGCAGAGCCAATGTCAACAGCACAACGATTGAAATTGCTTTTGAGAGCCAAATTTTTTATTTTTTAAAAAATATATATTTTATTGATTTTTACAGAGAGGAAAGGAGAGGGATAGAGAGTTAGAAACATTGATGAGAGAGAATCATTGATCAGCTGCTGCTTGCACACCCCCTACTGGGGATGTGCCCGCAAGCCAGGTACATGCCCTTGACTGGAATCGAACCCGGGACCTTTCAGTCCGCAGACCGACGCTCTATCCACTGAGCCAAACCGGTTTTGGCTTGAGAGCCAAATTTTTAAAACTTAACCTATGTAGGTAGGTGCATTGTTATTAACTTCATCAGGGGCCAAAGAGCCGCAGTTTGCCGTCCACTGCTCTGACTGCTTTCTGTGGGCCGAAGGTCTTCACACGGGGTGGGGGTTTACAGCTGTGACACCAACACGTGGGACAGGAAGCACAGGCAGGCATCTAGGGGGAGCCGGCCCGGCTCACCCCGCAGCCCCCGGGGCACGGCGCCCAACACACAGAGCTCACTGCACCTGGCACCTCCCCGTCCCCCGTCCGCCCCACCTCCATCCCAGCCTCACGGGCACGCTGCACGGCCGGCCAGCCCCTGCTGGCCCCGAGTCCGAGAAGCTGTGAGTGCCCCTCCGGGCCGGGGACACACACACACACCGCACACCAGTCTGTCCGTGTGTGCTGCAGAGAAGACGGGACGGGGGAGGGAGGGAGGAGAACCTTGGCCGAGAAGCGTGCTCCTCTGAGTGGGCCTCGCCCTGAGGGGCCTGTGGACTGAGGGCGGACAGACGGGTGCAGACCGGCCGCCCTGACGCTGTGCTCCCTCGCAGCGTACTGGCGGTTCTGGCTGTGTGTCAGCGTGGTCTACGAGCTGTTCCTCATCTTCATCCTCTTCCAGGTGGGCGCCCGGCACGGGCCTGGGGTTTGCCCGCGCCCTCGGTGTCAGCAGAGTGGCTGAGGGGTTGGGGGGCTCCACTCAGGGCAGCGGGCTCGGCGGGGCAGGAGGGCTCGGCGGGGCAGGGGGAGGGCTCGGCGGGGCAGGGGGGCTCGGCGGGGCAGGGGGAGGGCTCGGCGGGGCAGGAGGGCTCGGCGGGGCAGGAGGGCTCGGCGGGGCAGGGGGAGGGCTCGGCGGGGCAGGGGGAGGGCTCGGCGGGCAGGGGGGCTCGGCGGGGCAGGGGGAGGGCTCGGGGGGGCAGGGGGGCTCGGCGGGCAGGAGGGCGGGGCAGGAGGGCTCGGGCGGGCAGGAGGGCTCGGCGGGGCAGGGGGAGGGCTCGGCGGGGCAGGAGGGCTAGGAGGGCGGGGCGGCGGGGCTCGGCGTGGGGCAGACACAGTCCGGGTGCCGCCTGTCACGCAGGCGCTGGGTGCTCCTTGGGGAGGGTGTGGGCCCGGTCTGTGAGGAGCCCAGGCTGTGCTGATGTTGGCGTCTGCGAGAGGTGGGGCTTCCCTGCGCTGTGTGACCTGGGGAGGCAGTGAGACCAGCGATCGGAGACCCCGTGCCAGGCCACCCATCCCTCCCTCGGGCGCCCTGGGACCCACGGGGCGCTGTCCGTGGGGCGGCGGTCACCTGGGGCTGGGCCTCCCCAGTCTGTCAGCCCGGGTGGGGGCGGCGTGTGGTTGATGGCAGTGTCTGCGGGGCCGGGGGCTGCCGGGCGGGCGCCGGCCATCACACGGCCCTGGCTTGCAGACGGTGCAGGACGGCCGCCAGTTCCTGAAGTACGTGGATCCCAGGCTGGGGGTCCCGCTGCCGGAGCGGGACTACGGGGGGAACTGCCTCATCTACGACGCAGACAACGAGACGGACCCCTTCCACAACGTCTGGGTAAGGATGGCGGGCGGCCAGCGTGCGCGGAGCCGTCCCTGGAGCTGCTGTCAGCATGGGGGGGCGGTCCCGCTGGAGGGCACCGTGTCCTCGGGGTGAGGCTGAGGATGCCTCAGCGCATGTGTGCGCGGCCCCGGGTGGTCCCTGGGCCTGGCAGGCGCGGTGCGGGGCCCGGCCCGCCGGCGGGGGCTGCACAGGGTGGGGTGTAAGGCCTGCGTCTCGCCCACAGGACAAGCTGGACGGCTTTGTGCCCGCACACTTCATTGGCTGGTACCTGAAGGTGAGGAGCCCATGGCTGCTGGCGTGGCGTCCGCCACCCGCCCCCTGGCCTGGCCTTTGCCGGTGATGTCCGTGCATGTGGTGTGGGGGGTGGGAACCATGGAGAGGCCCGGCCCCGCCTGTGCCTGCCCCCCCTCCCGCCCCCGTGGGCGGCTCCGGGAGGGGCAGACACCGGCATGCCCCGGCCGCAGACCCTGATGATCCGCGACTGGTGGACGTGCACGATCGTGAGCGTCATGTTCGAGTTCCTGGAGTACAGCCTGGAGCACCAGCTGCCCAACTTCAGCGAGTGCTGGTGGGACCACGTAGGTGCCTGCCGGGGCCCTGCCCGGCCCGGCCCGGCCTCGTGTCCGCGCCAGGCCCGCCCGCCCGGAGGGGGAGGGGAGAGGGAGGGGAGGCCACGGAGCTGCAGGGCCCACGCTGCCTCCGCCTCCAGTGGATCATGGACGTGCTGCTCTGCAACGGGCTGGGCATCTACTGCGGCATGAAGACCCTCAAGTGGCTGTCCCTCAAGACGTACAAGTGGCAGGGCCTCTGGAACATTCCGACCTACAAGTACGTCCGCCGAGGGGGTGCTGCGGGGCCCTGTGCCATCCACGCGTCGGAAGGGGCGGGCGAGGGTTTCGCCTCCTGTCCTCGCCCCCTGGGCTTTGTCCCGGGCTGTCCTCCCAGCGCAGGCGGCAGCCGTGCTGTCCGGCCCGCGGCGCAGGCTCTGCCGTTTCCTTTCGTTTTGAATCTAAAAGAAAGAAGCCTCAGGAAAAGGCCTGCGAGGCCAGGCGGGGAGGGGGTCTCCGCTCCTGTCCGTCACAGGTGCTGGGGGCGGGGCCCGGACTAGGAACCTGCTGAGCCCCCAACCCCCTCTGCTCCAGGGGCAAGATGAAGAGGATCGCGTTCCAGTTCACGCCCTACAGCTGGGTCCGCTTCGAGTGGAAGCCCGCCTCCAGCCTGCGCCGCTGGCTGGCCGTGTGCGGCATCATCCTGGTGGTAAGGCCGGCCGCCGCCCGCGCCCAGCCCGCGGGGCGGGGGCCGGCGCCCACACCCCCTGTCCCCCAGTTCTTGTTGGCAGAGCTCAACACCTTCTACCTGAAGTTCGTGCTGTGGCTGCCCCCGGAGCACTCGCTGGTCCTGCTGCGGCTGGTCTTCTTCGTGAACGTGGGCGGCGTGGCCATGCGGGAGATCTACGACTTCATGGACGACCCGTGAGCCGCGGGCGGGGGCGGGGGCGGGCGGGGCGCCAGGGCGCGGGCCTCAGCGTGTGCTCCCGCAGGAAGCCGCACAAGAAGCTGGGCCAGCAGGGGCAGGCGGGGGCGGGCGGGGCGCCAGGGCGCGGGCCTCAGCGTGTGCTCCCGCAGGAAGCCGCACAAGAAGCTGGGCCAGCAGGGGCGGGCGGGGGCGGGCGGGGGCGGGCGGGGCGCCAGGGCGCGGGCCTCAGCGTGTGCTCCCGCAGGAAGCCGCACAAGAAGCTGGGCCAGCAGGCCTGGCTGGTGGCCGCCATCACGGCCACGGAGCTGCTCATCGTGGTCAAGTACGACCCGCAGACGCTCACGCTGTCGCTGCCCTTCTACATCGCCCAGTGCTGGACGCTCGGCTCCGTGCTCGTGCTCACCTGGACCGCGTGGCGCTTCTTCCTGCGGTGAGGCCCGTCCGGGCGGGGGTGGGGGGGCGTGCGGCTGTCCGCCCGCTCAGCCGGCTGACCCGCCCCGCCCCGCCCCCAGGGACATCACCCTGCGCTACAAGGAGACCCGGCGGCAGAAGCAGCAGAGCAGCGGCGACCAGGGCAGCACTGCCCACGGGGACAGGCACCGGTCTGGGCGGGACAGCCCCCCGGCGCCCCTGGAGGCGGAGAGGGAGGAGGCACCAGCACTGAACTGACTGCCCGGCCCGCCAGGACACAGGCTGTCCCCTCCTCCCGGATTCCGGCAGGAGCCTCCGGAGCAGCCCGAGGAGGCCCCGCCCCATGGGACTGGTGTGCGTGCGGCGTGCGTGCCCGTGTGCGCGCCCTGGGCTGCTCATCGGACAGTATGGCGGGGCGCGCCCTGGACAGTGGTCCCTTCTTGTCTGCCCACAGGCCTCTGGGCCACCCCGAGCCCTGGCGCCTAGCGGGCCGGGCCTGGTCCCCGCCAGCCCCCCCGCCCGCGCGCTCCCGAGATGGCCGAGACGGGCAGGTCCGAGCCGCAGCCCTGAGCCGTGTCCCGGAGCGGAGGGCAGGAGGGCAGGGGGCTGTGCCCTCTGGAAGGGGTCCTGGGTCCCTGGCCCAAGTTGGTCACCTCCACGAGCAGACAGAACAAATAAATGGCGAAGGTCTGAAGCTTGTGTCCTCACTGACCCCTCGCCCAGAGGGGCAGGGCTGCCCGCCTGGGCACAGGGGTCACCCGCTCTGCCGCGATGTGCCCCTGGCGGGGCCTACAGGGGGTCAGGCCCGGGAGCTGGTTCGGGAGGCGGTAGATGATTTCGAGTCCCGCCTGCTGGGGAGAGCAGTGTCCTTAGCTGTTGGACTGTCTGCTCCTTCCGGGAGTTTCAGACCGAGGTGACGAACGAGAAGGCTGTGGAGTGCCGTGGCCCAGCCACCCCTCCCCGAACCTGTCCCAGCAAGCGGCCACGGGCTGCCCCACGAGAGGAGTGTCGGGTGGGCTGGCTCTGCTCGTCCTGAGCGAGACCACTCAGTGCGCGTCCCTGAGGGGCAATGCTGCTCGCCACGATCACGCCTCGTCCCAGCCTCCCTCCTCGCTGTGCCGTCCCCGTGGTGGTGGCCGAGCCCCCCATGCCTGCCTGGGCCTCTGGGCAGCCCCGGGCTCTCCTGTACCAACTGCAGGTCCCGGCTCAGGGCTGCGGCCAGAGTGCTCCTGACTGCCCGTTAGGGCAGGCACCCTTGCTGGCCGGCGAGGCCCGCCAGGCAGTGAGGGGCGTGAGGAGGGCCCGGCCGAGGCAGAGAGCACTCTGTGCCCGTGGGCAGACCCTGCTGTTCTCAGCCCTGAGGAAGGCTGCGGGAGCAGGCCTGGGGCCCACCGGCCAGCTGCAGACGCGCACTGTTTTGGCTGCCACGATGGGTGGGCTCTGGGCGGCAAGGCCGCGCTCATGACAGCATCACCTGCAACCAGAAGCTCGGACGCACAGGAAGGACAGGCCATTCTACTCAAAACGCTTTAATAGTCAGTCCTGGACGCGCACAGAGCTGGTCTGCGCGTTTCTCTTCGGCGGAGCTAAGGCACGAGGTGGCTGGCCGGCCTGGGCAGGCTCAGCAGATGATCTGCAGGCCGGGCTTCTTCTCCTCCACGGCCCGAAGCTGGTCTTCCGTCTCCTCCCTCCAGTAGATGTCATACAGGCTGTGGGGCAGGGAGCGTGTGGGCCAGGCAGGCCGAGGCGCCCCACCGCGTCCTCCCCGGGTGGCCGGGCAGCACCCTGACCCCGTCCGCGCACTTACACCAGCTTCTCCAGCGGGCAGCTGGGCTGCTGGGCGCTCTCCGCCAGCTTCATGACGCCCACCTCGCTCATGCAGTTGTTGCTCAGGTCCAGATCGATCAGGCTGTGGTTGGCCAGCAGGAGGGCGGCCAGGCTGGTGCAGCCCTGGTCCGTCACCTCGCAGTCCCCCACCCTGGGCGGACAGGAGGGTGGAGGTCAGGACGGAGGCATGCCCGAAGGTGCCACCGACTGGCTGCGTGGCCTGGGCCTGTGCCGCCGCCGCCGCCACGCGAGCTACGGGCGTGCACACGCCGCCACGCCCAGCGGCCCTGAAACGGAGCCGGCCCCAGGGAAGCACAAGCTGGACACAGCCAGGACGATGGGGGACGAACAGGAGGAGAGAGGCCGAAGGGAAAGCGGAGGCAAAGCCAAGGGCGGGCCCGTCGGAAGCAAGCAGGCCCCCAAGGCCTGACGCTGTGAGCACCCCGAGCCCGGACAGGACCGGGCCGTCGGGCCGCCTGGCGCGCTGGGTGTGCCCCCCACACACACACACACAGCACGCTCACTCACGAGAGAACCCGCAGGGTGGTGCCCGGCTGGCTCAGGCCCTGGCACAGCTCCTCCATGCCCGCATCACCCAGGTTGTTGCTGCTCATCTGCAGCTCCTGGAGGCTCCGGTTCTGGGCCAGCATCGCGCTGACGTGCTGGCAGCAGGCGGCCGTGAGGCTGCAGGACTTTATCCTGGGACACGGAGGATGATGCACCCAGGCCCTCCGGCACCCGGGGTTCCCCCTCCCCCCTCCCCCAGAGAATCACCTCCATGGCCCTCAGCCCCCAGCAGGGTCCCCACCAGGCCACCCCTCCTCCGGGCCCCTCGGCTGTCCTCCCTCCAGGCCCGCCCCAGGCGGCGCTCACCACAGGGACTCCAGCCGGCAGCTGGGATCCCGCAGGCTCTCGCACAGCAGCCGCGCGCCCTCGTCGCCCACCGCGTTGCCGGCCACGCTGAGCTCCCGGAGGCTCTCCTTGGCTCCGAGCACCCGGCACAGGTCCTTGCAGGCACTGGCCGTGAAGTCGCACTCCCAGAGCCTGCAGGGAGGGGACCATCACAGCAGGGCCACCGGGGGGCACTCCCGCCCACAGCGGACACGCCTGTGCAGAGCTGCCCTGACCCGGCCCTCTGCCGGCCCTCACTCACCACAGGGTCTTGAGCCTGGAGCCGGGGCTCAGCAGCCCGGGGCACAGCGCCGCGATGCCCGCGTCCCCCAGCTTGTTGTTGCCCAGCTGCAGCTCGCTCAGCGAGGGCTTGGCGGCCACGATGGCGCTCAGGTCCGCACAGTTGGCCGCGGTGAGGCCGCAGCTCTCCAGCCTGGGGCACAGGAGGCGCTGTGGCCGCTGCGGACTCGGCCGCCCCTGCCCGCTCCCGCTCCCCGCCCCAGCCCGGCGCTCACCGGAGTGACTCCAGCGGGCAGGTGGAGTCAGCCAGGCCCCGGCACAGCATCCGGGCCCCGGCCTCGCCGATGTCGTTGTTGCTCACCCCCAGGTCCTTCAGCTCCGGCTTGGCCCTGACCAGGGCGGCCAGGGCCTCGCAGCTGTCGGCCGTCAGGTTGCTGTACTCCAGCCTGGGGACGGCGGGCGGTCAGCCCTCCCCCAGGAACGTCCCCTCCCTCCTGGAGACCACCCACCGGCACAGGCACCCACGCTCAGGAGACAGAGCAAGACGCCCAGCCCCCCTCCCCGCATGGCTGAGCCCACCTGCGGGCTCACAGGGCCACGCCGCCCGCCACACAGGCACGTGCGGGGCCACGGCCAGCCGCCCCGCCTGTGAGGTCACAGCCCCACAGCCCCTCCTCCGACCCCCTGCACCAACGTGGGCGGAGCAGAGTGGCCCGGGCAGGGAGCGGGCACCGGGGCCGGCGGGCACACTCACTGCAGCTTCTCGATGTGGCACTGGGGGTCCATGAGCCCCTCGCAGAGCAGCCTCAGGCCCGCGTCCTGCAGCTGGTTGTAGCTGAGGTCCAGCTCGCGGAGGGCGGGCAGGGAGCGCAGCACACCGGACAGGGGGCCGCAGCCGGCCTCCGTCAAGTTGCAGTTCTGGAGGCTGTGGGAGCGCATGTCCATCACAGGGAGGCCACGCCCATCCCGGGCTGGGCGGCCAGGCTGGCCAGGGCGCAAGTCCCAGGCCCAGGGCAGGAGGGGGAGCGTGGAGGGGGGAGAGGCCTGGGGCACAGTGCACCGGCCCCAGGGCGGGCGCTGGGCCCCGCGCTCACCTGAGCTTCTGGACCTTGCAGGCGGGCTGCAGGCCCTGCAGCACCAGGTGCGTGCCCGTGTCACCCAGCTCGTTGGAGGACAGGCTGAGCTCGGTGAGGGCAGCGTTGTCCCGGAGCGCGGCGCTCACGTCCTTGCAGCGCCCCCCGGTGACGCCACAGTCAACCAGCCTGCGGGCGGGACAGCGGTGGTCGGAATAAGGGAGCCGCCCTGGGCGTTTTAAATGGAACGGGAAGAGGGGGCGGTCGTCTCAGGACATGGGGGTGGAGGGCATGGCCCGCACGGATGTGTCGGTGCCGTGGCTGGTGGGCGTGGCCAGCCGCTCTCAGCTACCAGGGAGGAGCGCCCGGAGGGCGCCGAGGGCGGGGTCTGGGGGCACCGACAATGACCTGAAGGCCGAGCGGCGAGGCCGCTGTGACACCGGGCACAGTCCCCGGGGGGTGCCCATGTCCCGAGGCGACTGCGCGAAGCAGGTCGTGAGCGGTGCCCGCCCACTGCCCCGCTGCTCATCGGTGACCACGGCAGCAACAGCGGCTCCGAGGACCGAGCTGACACCCCGAGCGGGCGGCAGGACCGGCCCCTCGTCCCGGTGTACTGCTGCCGAGGCCCCCCGGGGCCCTCTCCGGGCGGAGGGCCGGGGGAAAGCCGCGACGAGGGAGTCAGGCAGCTGTGCTGGCTCCGCACCTGACCGGAGCCCCGGGCGCTGGGCACTGACTGCAGGGGAGGCGGGGCCAAGGGCAAAGGGCACCCAGAGCCCTCTTCCTAACCCATTTAAACGGGTTAAAGAGACACCAGCAGGCACCTGCCCTCTGTGAGGCCCAAGGAGCTGCTGGGCTCAGAGCCCCCGTGCCGCCAGCCGAGTGCCGCCCCGGAGGAAGGGGCCGAGGCAGAGACCCGCCAGCGGCTCTGAGCCTCCCGCCGGTCCCACCGGCTCCAGCCAGGAATGGGTTTATGTTGTTAAATGTTTGGGGGAAATTACAAAAACATTCCAGCTGCGTGGGAATCAGCTTACGCCCGCCCGCCCGCCCCGGCCGGCCTACCTGACCACCGGGGCCTGGCGCATGAGCGGCAGGAGCTCGGCCCACCGGGCGTCGCCCAGCTGCTGGTAGTGGAGGTCCAGGAGACTCATGGTGAGAGGCGAGTGTGCTCTGGTGGAAGCAGAGGGGGGGCATGGCGACCAGACATGGAGGAGAGCAGAGGGAGGCTGCACCCACTGCCCCCCTGGCACAGGCCCCAGTGGCCAGAGTCGGGGACACCTCCGGCCTGGGAGAGGGTGGGGCATGGGCTCGCCACCTCTCATGTGCCCCGGCCAGGGCAAAGACCGGTAAGGAGGGTGGCCCGTGGGCCTGGACACAGAGGGGACCCCAGTGGGGGACAGGGATGGGGCACCGGACTGGCCGTCTGGCGGCCGCTCAGTGAGGGGAGGCCACAGGCCCTGAAACCGCCTGGACACGCTGCGGCCTGGACACGCCTGCGGCCTGGACACGCCTGCGGCCTGGACGCGCTGAGGCCTGGACACGCCGCGGCCTGGACACGCCTGAGGCCTGGACACGCCTGAGGCCTGGACACGCCGCGGCCTGGACACGCTGCGGCCTGGACACGCCTGAGGCCTGGACACGCCTGAGGCCTGGACACGCCTGAGGCCTGGACACGCTGCGGCCTGGACACGCTGCGGCCTGGACACGCCTGAGGCCTGGACACGCCTGAGGCCTGGACACGCTGCGGCCTGGACACGCCTGAGGCCTGGACACGCCGCGGCCTGGACACGCCTGCGGCCTGGACACGCCTGAGGCCTGGACACGCTGCGGCCTGGACCCCTGCGGCCTGGACCCCTGCGGCCTGGACACGCCGCGGCCTGGACACGCCTGAGGCCTGGACACGCCTGAGGCCTGGACACGCTGCGGCCTGGACACGCCGCGGCCTGGACACGCCTGAGGCCTGGACACGCCACGGCCTGGACACGCTGCGGCCTGGACCCCTGCGGCCTGGACACGCCTGAGGCCTGGACACGCTGCGGCCTGGACACGCTGAGGCCTGGACACGCCTGAGGCCTGGACCCCTGCGGCCTGGACACGCCTGAGGCCTGGACACGCTGCGGCCTGGACACGCTGCAGCCTGGACACGCCTGAGGCCTGGCTGAGGTGGGCAGGGCCGTGCCTGGGGCGGGCGGGGAGGCTGGTTCACTCCAGAGTGATGGAAGCCGGGGAAGTGATGTGATGGACCTGCCCGTTAGAACGCCCGCCGGCAGGATGACTCAGCGCCTGCCAGGTTCCCCCAGCCCCGGGCTTCCTGAGAACTCTGCCTCCCCCGAACCCCCCGCCCCCCCAGCCCCCCTTCCTGAGAACTCTGCCTCACCCGAACCCCCCGCCCCCCCGCCCCCCTTCCTGAGAACTCTGCCTCCCCCGAACCCCCCCCAGCCCCCCCAGCCCCCCTTCCTGAGAACTCTGCCTCCCCCGAACCCCCCCAGCCCCCCACTCCTGAGACGCCCCCGCTGGCCTGTGCACGGGGCCTGGCACGGCCCGGCCTGCTGAGGGGCTGCCCCTCCCGTCGCGGCTGGATCGGGGCCCAGCCGGGGGCAGGCAGCCAGGAGTGACACCAGTGCCGGGCCTGATGGGACTGGGTCGAGGCCGGCGGGGGCGGTGTCACCAGCGCAGTCACACCAGGAGCCGGGTCTGCCACGGCCCAGAGCACGTGAGCCGAGGGCACCCACCCACCCTGGGAGCCAGGGTGCGGTCAGACACTGACTCAGAGCCGCCCTCACCCCTGCGGGAGGCAGGGAGGCCAGGGCACCCATGCTGACCCCTCCCGGCCTAGGGGACCCCGACCCCCACTGCTCTCCCAGACGCACCCCCTCCAGGAAGCCAGCCAGACACGGGGCTCCACCCACCCACAGGGTCTGACACCCATCGGGAGCCCCACCCCGGGGCTCACGGGACACGGGGCATCCCTGAACCCCAAGAAGACGTGCGACATCCCCCAGGAGACGCCCAGGCAGGACCCCTAACCCGGCCCCGCTGGCCGCCCGAGAGCCAGGACCAGAGCCGGCCGGCCGGGACGAGCGCCATCTGGTCCCAGCGCGCAGCAGGCCGCAGAGGGCGGCGCCCGGGCCTGATCCAGGGACGGGGGTGAGGGTGGGGGCCGGGCCCGGGAGCCGGCGCCGGGGCCGGGGCCTGGGCCTCCTGCCCGGTCCTCACGCGTGGCCCAGCGTAGGGCTGCGTGTCCCGCCCGCCCCGCGCTTTCTGGGCCACGGGAACCGCCCGCTCCGCCGGCCGGGAACCCCACCCCGGCCTCGCCTGGTCCCCGGACCCCGGCCTCACCTGGTCCGCGACCGCTCAGACTCACAGCTGCTTCCGGCCGGCCGGGAGGGAGGCAGGCGGGGCGGGGCCTGAGCGGGCCGGGGCCTCGCCAGCTCATCCCCGCTCTCCCCGCCTCCCGCCTCCCGCATCCCGCCTCCCGCCCGGCCCGGCCCGGCCCGGCCCGGCCTGGCCTTCGGGCTCCGTCTGCGGAGCGGGGCCTGGGCCCCCCACCTCCGGCCGGGGCGCAGGGAGGGCGGGCTGGGCCCGGAGCCCCTGCCGGCCCCCCCTCTCCCAGGCCCTGGTTCCCCGGAGCCCAGACCGAACACCGGAGCCCGGGCTGCGGGCACCGGCGGAGGGGGGACCGGGTACCCCGTCCGCGGCCACGTGTTCGCTCCTCTGGGCCGCGGTGATGCCCGGCGGGAACCGCCCGCAGGTCCCCAGGACACGGGCCATTCACAGCGTGGCCCAGGGCAGCCCGGGGAGGCCTAGCCCACCAAATGGAGCTGCAGCCAAAGGCAGGGCTGGTGGGCAGTCACCTCCCAGGCCGGCGAGGTCACTGACCAGGTCAGCCTTCACCTGAACTGAGCCCACCTGCCTTTTGGCCTCTGGGATAAAGTGACCAGACGTCCGGGTTTAACAATTTGCCCCGTGTCCCACGGGACTTGTTTAAACGCCATGGGACACAGGACAAATCGTTAAAAACCGGGACGTGTGGTCACCTAGGACGGGCGAGGACAGAGACCACAGATCCTCCATCAGCACGTCTGTAGTCTGTCCCTGCACCCCGCCATTTCACTTTTTGCCCAGTCCCAGGGGTCCCCCCTCTGCTTTCTCCCACTGCTCTAATCCATCACCAACGGGTTTTGTGTCCCCTCCTCAGATTGCCAGGTGTTGTAAGGCTGAGTAAAGCCAGAACGCAGTATTTCCTGGCAAACATTAAAGCAGGGCTAGGCCCCGAGGGCGGTTTCACCTTAGGCACTCATCTCATGACACTCATCTGGCGACTACGTGACTGCCGACCTGACCGCTGTGGAATGCACCGGAACGCACCTCCGGGAGCAGACCAGCCTAACCTGGAATTACGGGAGTGACCACCGACCCACGGCAAAGGCAAAAGAGGACTGACGCAAGGGCGCAGGGAGGGGGAGGCAAAGGGTCTTGCTCGCATAGCGGGGCTGGAGTGTAAAAACTGAGAAGGAAACCTAGAGCGGGTCCGGGTTTGAGTGCCACTGCGCTGGTGCCCCGGCTCAGACCCCAGCCGCTAGAATCAATAAAGACTTTCTGCCTTTGCGTCGGACTCGGCTCCCTGGGGGTCTGTGGGGTCCAGAATCTGCGGGGCACAACAGCATAAAAACAGAGGAATAAAAAAACCTTCTCTGCAGCATTCCCCGGTCCACGGGGTGCTGCTTCCCAGCAACTGCCAACGGTTTGGCTCAAATAAACACAAAACTCCTTTACTTTACAGGTTCCAATGTTTTCTATTTTCTTTTTTGTGTTTCCACATTAGCTCCACACACTGACTGGAGCGACCTTGGGGAGGACAGGGGAATGTTAGACACGGATGCTGTTTGAGACACTCGGGCCGCCGCTGAGCAGGCCACCTCCCGGGGCGCCCTGAGCCGGCGTGCCGGCCGAGGTCGCCATCAGGGGCCCCGCCTGACGGCACTGCGTCTCCCCAATCGGCGGCCGCCCGGTCAGCCGTTCACCGAACGCCTACTGTGCGCCTCGCCCACCGCGTGAGCAAGCCCTCAGCCAGCGCAGGTGGAGCTCCAGGTCCGGAGGGGACAGGAAACTCAGAAGGAAACGGATCGTGTTCAGACTGAGGAGAGTGCTCAGGGGGTGACACTGCGAATAAAAGGGACCCCCCTCTCCTTCCCTCCCAGCTCTACTCACAGGAGCAGGCGCCTGCCTGCCCCCTCTTCCCTCCGAGGCCCTCTTCCTCTACGGGGCTCACTTCTGCTACCTCTGTAACTTCCTAAATACACATTCTCTTGTATTAAAAAAAAAGGGGGGGGGATGGGGTGCTGCTGGAGCAGCGGGCCCAGGAGCAGCAGTCAGGTGGCAGGCTGGGGGAGGGGCTGGAGGGTTAGGCCTGGTGCTGGGCGGTCTGTCCTCTGGAGCGACCGAGGGGAGCGCCCTGGGCCTGGGAGGGTCCGGCTGGGCCAGCCCCTGCTGTGTAGCCAGGGGGTCCGGAGAGCCCAGGACGGGCCGGGCAGGCCGCCAGGCACAGGCCCGTCCGGGAAGTGGCCCCACAGCAGGTGCACGTGGTCAACTTGAACTTCAACGTGACTTGTGTGCCAGGAGCAGGATGTGTTCTTGGAGGAACCGGACAGAGGCAGTGAGGCAGAAAACCTGGACGCATCTCCTGACGTGTGTGCATGGGCTCCTGTCCAGTACACCCCAGGCATGAGGCCTGGTGGGCAGAGCGGCCCAAAGGGGCCAGTCCTCCCCCTGGCAGAGGGGTCTCTGTGGCCGGGTGAGGGGCCCCGGTGGGAGAGGTCCTGGGTGACCTGGGATCCCAGACCAGGAGGATGTGGCGGCGGCGGAAGCAGAGCCGCAGTGCTCGCACTCTGACCGGGAGGGCCAGGGGCTGGGCCGGGGCCAGAAGCAGGTTCTCCCCGGAGCCCAGGCAAGGAGCCGCCCTGCGACACTTTGACTTGAACCCGCAGCCCATGTTGTGTTTGCTTGTTCATCCGACCTCAGAGATCCCCCCTCTTCTGCTTTCTACCGCCCCCTTCAGCTGCCCCCGTGGGTTCCATGTGACCCCTGCGCCGCCTCCTTTTACCCTAACTTGCAACACAAGCCGCAAAGCTGCCGTTTTCGGGGCGTTTCCTCACCCCGCGGAGATGCTGCTTCAGGCGGAGCCCGTCGGCTCGGCTCTAAAAAATCCTGAGAAGCCCTACAGGCGCGGACATCTCTTACCTCGACACCATCCTACAGGGGGGCCTGCCTGGCTCTAAGGTGCTTCCAAGACACGGCTGGCCGGCGGCCCCGCCAGGCTGCACCGGCCCACCGGCTCGCCCCGCGCCCGCGCGTCTCCAGGCCGGCGAGGGCGCGGCGGCCGGCGCCCGCCCAGAACCGCCCCGCGCGCGCCCCGCGCCTCCAGCGCTCCGCGCCTCGGGCCGGCCGGGCCCCGCGGCCCCGCGACGTGCCGCCCCCGTGGCGTCGGCTCGCCCCCGCCGCAGGTGCCGGCCCAGCGCGCCCCAGGCTCGCAGGGGCCCTAACGGGACGGGGGCCCCCAGCGGGCACATGGCCAGGCCTCCGCCGGGGGTGCCCGTGCTGGGGCTCCGGGGCGAGGGCAGAGTCCGGCCCAGCCGGCCTGTGTGTCGGGACTGGGGGCCCCGCACCGGGGTTCAGGGAGGCGCGCACACGCACCGCGACACGCTAAGGCGCAGCCACGGAAACCACCCCCCGCGCAGGCGCAGCGCTGCCGCGCCCAGACTCCCAGGGTGCCCTGGGAGCAGGGCCAATGCGCACGCGCGGAGATGCGTCCGACGCTCTGACGTCCTCGGGGCGCGCCGACTTCCGCCCGCTTCGCCTGCCCCGCCCCCGAGCCCGACCGACAGCCTCTCCCCGCTCATGAGCGCTCCGGTCCCGGGTCTCCCACCGCCTGGCGTGAACAGCATGACGGCGCCCACAGGCGGCCCTGCCGAGGCCGGGCCGGTGCGCTGCCCCGGGCAGACCGCAGCCTTAGGGCCCTCGGGTGGTCGGGCTGCGGGAGTGACCGCCCGGGGCACAGCGGACTGTCCCCGGGAAGGACACACTGCGACGGGAGGCGGGCGGGGCCTCCCTGCCCGGTCCGGACCCGCGGTGGCGGCGCGAGCCCTGGGCGGCTCGGGTTGGGGTGAGCGGGCTGGACTTCGCGGGAGGCCCCTGCCCGCGGCCTTCTCTGCCGCCCACGGGGAAGGCTGGGGCCTGGGGGGCGGTGAATGGGCCTCGGACGCAGGTCACGGCGAGGGCCCGCCTCGGGCCGGGCCCTGAGTGTGCGGCAGGGCGCTGGGCCCGTGCGTCGGAGCAGAGGCCAAGTCTAGGTGCCAAGATTCTGCACTCAGTCCTCGGAGCCCGACTTTGCCGCACAGCGAGAGGCAAACGGACGTTGACAGACTGGTAGGCCCACACCAAAGGAAGGATCATCGCTATCGTGTAAGTGTCATTCATCCGGCATTGTCAGTGCTAAACTAAAAAAAACACTGAAACCTGTAAAGAATCTGTGTGAGCTTATTTGAGCCAAACTGTCAACATAGGCTGGGAAGCAGAACCTCAGCGGATTGGGATAATGCTCCGGACAATAGTGGGCTACACCTGTCTTTATGAGATATGGGAGCAATCATACTTGGGTAAAAACTGCTGTTAGAATTCTAACCTTGCTATCTGACTTCGACCTCAATTACTTGCTTAAACAATAGGGTAGTTACAGGAGATTGACTCCCACTGACTCAGTAGCTTTAGGAGTAGAAACTATAGGTAACCTTTAGAGATTAACCTCTGAGTTCTGCTTTTGTATAATGGGCAAGATAGGGCCACATTCCAATGTTCCCAGCCTTTAGAATTTAGAGCAAAGGGAAATTCCTGTGGTTTGAAGCTTTAAAAAGAATTGCCAACACCTGCATCAGTGCAGTTGGCCGTCGTGGCCAGTTTTTCAATAAACCCTTGCCTGTTTTTTTAAAATTAATTTATCAGCCTCCGGTGGTCTTATTTTGAACCCAGGGTTCAACCCCACAACATTTATACATGACAATCAAAGGAGGGACGCAGGTGGGTTACATGAAATCCATTGGTGATGGAGTGAGGAGGCGGGATAAAGCAAAGCAGGGAAACCCCTGGGATTGGATAAAAAGTAAAATGATGGACACATGCTTACGTGGGTGCAGGAACAATTAACATGATAATGAAGGAATTTGTGGTCTCCATCCAGGCGCCCAGCACATTTGGTTGTGCCCCAGGGGCTCCAGAAAAAGGGGAGTTACAAGTTACCCAGACATTTCAAGGGTGTGTCATCCTAGATGCAAAAAGATAGGTGGGCTCAGTTAAGGTGAAGGTTGACCTTGTCAGGGGAGATCCCGGCCTAGGAGGTGACTGCCCACCATCACTGGTTTAAAGTTTAATCAGACCATCCTCTGTGGTGACTTTAGGGCTGAGTCTGTAAGAGGGCCAGGCAGGCCTCCCCTGAGCTGCCAGGTCAGCACGTGCCCCTGCCGTCCACGTTTGCAAATGCTGGGGATGGTCTCACCTGAATGCACTCACGCAGGAAACACCGGCCTCTCCTTCGTGCCGCTGTGTGGTGCTGCTGAGGGTTCGTTTCACCTGGAGCAGAGCAGACAGGAGTCCTGGGAGGGGTTCCGCCAGTCTGTGACCCGAAAACATCCATGTCTTCTGCGTGTGAGCGGCATGTTCCGTGTGGACTTACAGGCCTGCACATACTCCTGCCGGCACTCCTGGAGGGCGTTCCGTTGCCTCTGGCTCCCAGGCTTTCGGTCAGTTATTCCTTGGAAGATGGCATGTCTTCCTGGGGGCTGCGAAGGTTTCCTCTTGTCAGGGTGGGGCAAACGTAGGTTTACAAATAGATGTTCTTTATTATTATTATTTTAAATATATTTTTTATTGATTTTTTACAGAGAGGAAGAGAGAGGGATAGAGAGTTAGAAACATCAATGAGAGAATCATTGATCAGCTGCCTTTTGCACACCCCCCACTGGGGATGTGCCCGCAACCAAGGTACATGCCCCTGACCGGAATCAAACCTGGGTCCCTTCAGTCCGCAGGCCAACGCTCTATCCACTGAGCCAAACCGGTTTCGGCTCTTTATTTTTATTATTATTATTATTATTATTATTATTATATTTTTACTAGAAGCCCGATACACGAAATTTGTGCAATAGCAGGCTTTCCTTCTCCTGGTTGCTGGCACCAGCTTCCCTCTGGCATCCGGGACCCGGGCTTCCCTTGCAGCCCGGCTTCATTCGGGCGGTCCTCCAAAAGAACGTCTAATCTAATTAACATATTACGCTTTTATTATTGTAGAAGATTCCTTTCAGAGAGGAAGGGAGAGGGAGAGAGAGAAATGTCAAGGATGAGAGAAAATCATTGATTGGCTGCCTCCTGGAGGCCCCCTACCTGGGATCTAGCCCTCAACCTGGGCGTATGCCCTTGACTGGAATTGAGCCTGCAACCCTTCAGTCTGCAGTCTGATGCTCTACCCACTGAGCCAAACCGGCCAAGGCTACAGTTGTTCTTGTGGAAAATAATACAGTAGACCAGCCTGTGTGGTTCAATGGTTGAACTCAATGTATGAACTGGGACAGTGATTGGCAAATATCAACAGTACAACGATTGAAATTTCTTTTGAGAGCCAAATGTTTTAAAACTTCTACCGCCACTTCTTGAAAATAGACGCGCCCAGGCCGTGGTATTTTGTGGAAGAGCCACACTCAAGGGGCCAAAGAGCTGCATGTGGCTTGAGAGTTGCAGTTTGCCAACCACAGAACCAAGAGGTTCAATTCTTAGGACACATGCCCAGGTTGCAGGCTCGATCCCCAGTGTGGGGCCTGCAGGAGGCAGCCAGTCCATGATTCTCTCCCATCACTGATGTTTCTCTTTCTCTTCCTCCCCCTTCCTCTCTGACATCAATATATATATTTTTAAAGTAATATAATACCCTGGCCAGGTAGTTCAGTTGATTAGGACATAGTCCCAATAGGCCAGAGATTGTGGGTTTGACCCCTGTGGGGGCACATACAAGAATCAACCAATGAATGAATAAATAAGTAGAGCAACAAAAGGATGTCTCTCTCCCCCCTTCCTCTCTAAAGTCAATAAATTTTTTAATGATTTATTTAAAATCACTTACATAAATGATTTTATTTATTTAAATGCAGGACTGGTGGACTCTGGTGGGGCTGAGGGACTGGGCACTGTCATCGTGTGGCTATGAGCAATGTGACAGTTATTATAATTTACATATTACCCTTTTATTGGATAGGATTTACCACAGTAAAGGTCAGGAATTATCTTCCTTTTAAATTTTTTTACTGTGTCATTTCATGCTGCTGTCTGTGCTCATGTGAGGGATGGAGGTACTTGGGAAGGTGGGTTCCGACTGACAGGGGCCGAGGGATGGCGAGGATGGCCTGTCCTTGGTTTGCCCTCTGAGCCCGTGGGAAGCTCGGCAGTGAGTGAGGGGCTGAGGAGTAGGTGTGACCCCGGCTTCTGTGTGGGGCGGGGACGTGCCTGTGGCCGGCGCTGAGGAGGGGCTCCTAGTGAGGAGGTGTGCATGAGGGAGAAGGTGGACAGGACCTGGTCCATGTCCAAGACCTGCCCGTGGCGGAGACTGCCCCCGAGTGGACAGGAGGCCCCTCAGGCAGCCGTCAGAGTGCAGCCCGATCTGGCTCCATCCCTGGCCAGCCCGAAGAGAACCACCCAGTGGACGCATCCACAGCAGATTGCTCTCTTTCCTCCCTCCCTCCCTCTCTCTCTCTCTAGCTAGCTCACTCTCTCCCCTTCCTCTCTCTAAAACCAATTTTAAAATATTGGTTTATTAAAAAAAAAAGGGGGGGGGTGAGAAGGAAAGATACAGAGGCTGGCTGGTGTGGCTCAGTGTTTGAGTGTCAGCCTATGAACAAGAGGTCCCTGTTCAGTTCTGTTGGGACACATACATGGGGTTGCGGCCACATCTCTCCAGTAGGGGGCGTGCAGGAGGCAGCAGATCCGTGATGTTTCTTTTTCTAATCCTTTATTGTTTAAAGTGTTATGTAAGTCTTCTTTCCCCCCATTGACCTCTCCCAGGCTGCCCCAGCCCCTGGCACACGCCCTCAGCCCCCACTGTCTGTGTCCTTCGGTTTTGCTCCTGTCCTTTGGTTGATCTCTTACCCCTCATCCCTCCCACCTCCTCCCACCCTCCATCCCTGCCTTCCCTCATAGGCTGGACAGTCCGTTCAGTGCTTCTATGACTCAGGTTGTATTTTTGTTTATCAGTTTATGTTGCTCAGTGATATTACTAAAGAAAATTTTTTTTAAAAAAAGGAAAGTTACTGAGAAAATATTTGCAAATCCTACATCTAATAAAGGACTCGCACAGAACTGGAACAAAATATTGTTAAAACTAAATAAAACAAATGATCCACTCGAAAATGGGCCTACATTCCGAATGGACACTCAGACAAAGATGGACAGACAGTCCTCGGTTACACTGGACACGCCGTTCGTGGCTGCGTCGCCATCGCCCAGCCTGTGACCTGGTGAGCGCGGCTGCCGCAGAGAACAGACCCGGCGCAGGCGGGGGAGAGGGGGGCGCCCTGCAGAGCCCCCCGCCTGGGCCTCCCATCAGCTGGGGTGCTGCCTCCACGGCCTTGCTCTGCGGCCACAGCTGAGCCTTATCCCATCCCCACGCTCCGGCTCCGCATCCTGTGGCCCTCTGCTCACACCTGGCGCCCAGCGCCTCGGGCCGGGCCGGACAAGCCTGACCTGAGCCCACAGGCGTCTGCGCTGACCTGCAGAGCTGGGCCCATGCCCACTGGCCGCCGTGGGAAGGGGAGCCAGGCCGGGATGCCTGCCCCTCAGCACAGGGTGCCCCACGCGGGCCTCAGTCCTCTGGAAGGAGGGTGTCGGCACGGGGGCCGCACTGTGGGAGGCGGCCTTGGGTGCCTAGGGCACCTGCCAGCGCCTGACCGGGGAGCAGGCTCCGCTTGTTGGGGGCCTTTCGGACTCCTTCAGTCAGGGGTCCCAGGCCCCTCGTGAGCTCCTGTGGGAAAGCTTCTCTCAAAGGGGAAGCCCCACTGGTGAGCACAGCCCCCAGGGCTGACCCAGCACCCCCATACACCCTCTGCTCCCCAATAGGTAGCTCTCGGGGCTCCGTTGGGGGTGGGGCTGCCCAGAGACCGTCACAGGATGCTGTCCCTGAGCCACCCCCACCCTCACCGCCAGGGCCTGCCCGCGGGGCTGCGGGGTGGGTGAGGGTAGTCCTGGAGGAAGGCGACTGGGTCCTGGGGGCACGCTTCCCGGCTTCCAGGGGGAAGGGCGGCCCGGCGTGGGCTCCTCTGGGGTCGGGGTCGTTCCCATTGAGGGGCAGTTGCTGTTGCCCCGTCACCAGTGGAGCTGAACTGGCCTGGGAACCCCAGTGCCCCTGGGGGCCACCTGGACCAGAGGCCTCGGGCTCTGCTGGCCTCAGGCCCTTCTCACTCACCCGGTCGCTGTGGGCCGCGCCTGGAGGCAGCACGGCCCTCAGTGCGCAGCGACCGTGCGTGCGGCCGAGGGCCCGGCCACGGAGGTGCCGGCTGGAGCTGGGCAAGGCCCCCTCCACTGAGGCCACAGGAATGGGAGGGTCCTCTGCTGCCAGCGCCCCTCACTGCCCCCCAGCCAGGAACCTTGGGGGACAGTGGGGACCCTCCAGCCGGCTCGTGCCCACACCAAGAATGCCTCCTGAGCCGCCCGGAAGCCAGCCTGGGCCCGAGCACGATCAGGCCGCGATGGCGGAGCTCCGAGGGCAGCAGTGTGCCCCCTGCCCCGCGGCCCCAGCACACGGCCCCCCGAGTCACCCTCTCGGGGTCACACGGAATGGGGAGAGCCCGGCCAGTGCACCTCTCTCCTGCTCTGATTTGGAAAACCAGTTGGGGCTGGGCATCGGGCGAACCCTACAGACCCCGGGGACAGCAGCCTGGGGGTAACCAGTGTCAGCAGGGCAGCCAGGACACCACAGGGCACGCCCTCGCCAGCCACACGGCCCAGGAAGCAGCTCACCCAGCTGCTGGCTTCCAGCGGGACCCTGGCCTGGAGGGCAGGGCGCCCTGACGCAGTCTGAACGAGAGCGAGCCCCGGGGTGGCAGGACGGGCCCCCGGAGCGCTCTGTGGCCACCTGCACCCACACAGCCGCCTGCCGTGACCGGAGTCCGCTCTGGAGCGGCAGGCCCGGGACTGGGGCGGGGGGAGGGGACGGGCAGGCCAGGCCCTCAGCAGAGAGGGCAGCAGGGCTGGCAGAGGCCACTGGCTGGAGGACGCTGAGGTGGAGGCCCCCACTCCCCAGCCCCCCCCCCATGAGAGACCGCACACCACAGCTGGCCGGACGACAGGGTCGAGACCATCAAATAATTTACTGCAACTGAGCCTGTGCCCAGGGGCCGGGCCGGGCGGCTGGGGCCAGCGGCCTCAGTTCTCCAGTCTGTGCAAAGCGTCCTGGGAGGTCCGGTCACTGTGCCCAGCCCGGGATGGCCAGGTCTGGCAGCACTTCCTTCTTTCCCCTCGCCCAGGCCGGCCCCTCGGGGCTCCTGTGCGGGTGCACCGGCCGCGGGCGTCAGGAGAGCAGGCACTTGCAGCTCATGCAGCCGGGGCCGCCCTCGTCCGGCGGGCTGGGCTTGGGCACCTTGTGCTGCCGGATCTCGCGCACCAGCGTGTAGAAGGCGTCCTCCACGCCCTGGGGAGAAGGAGCCGCTCAGGGGGGCCAGCGGGGGAGACATGGAGACCGCGGGACCCCACCCCTCTCCGCCTGCACCCACAGTCAGAGCCGGCTGCTGCTCCCACTGCCTCACCCCCACCCCGGACACCTGCTCCTCAGCAGCTCCCCCAGGCAGGTGGCCCCGGGCCTGGCTCTGAGCCTGACCGCCCTGGTCCCCAACAGCCCTCCCGATAATGGACTGAGACACCCTGGGGGCAGAGGGGCTGGGGCCCCAGGGTCACCGCTCCGGCCTGGCTCAAGACAGCTCTCCAGGGACCTCCACTGCTACCCTCCCCTAGACTGTCAGCCCTGACCCGGGCCTGGCCTCCCTCGCTGCCCTGCTGTCCCGGGAGACTTACAGCGCGAGGGGCAGCTGGGTCCCGGGGGTCTGGAGCCAGAGCCAGAGCGGCTGCCCTGTGTTGAGGGAGAGGGGCAATGAGCAAGGCTCCCTGGGGGGGCGGGGCGGGGCGGGGCCCTGGCTGGCTGCGGGCGGGGCGCCGGCTCACCTGGCGCGTCTTGGCGGAAGTCTCGATGTAGGGGATGCCGTAGCTGCGGGCGAGGTCCTGAGCCTGCCGAGACTCCACGGTCCGCGCGGCAAGGTCACACTTGTTCCCCACCAGCACCATGGGCACGTCGTCCGAGTCCTTCACCCGCTTGATCTGCTCTCTGCAAGGAGGAGGGCGTGAGCCGGCGGGCGGGCTGCAGGCACGGCTGCATCCAGGCGCGCGGAGGGCGGCGGCTCACCGGTACTGGTGGATGTCCTCGAAGGACTTGGTGTTGTTGATGGCGAACACACAGAGGAAGCCCTCCCCGGTGCGCATGTACTGGTCCCGCATGGCGCTGTACTCCTCCTGGCCCGCCGTGTCCAGGATGTCCAGCAGGCACGTCTCCCCGTCAATGACCACCTGCTTCCGGTAGGAGTCCTGCGGGAGGACACTGCTCAGGGCCCCTCCTGTGCGCCCCAGGTCCTCCGGCGAGGGGACCCCGCCAGGCCCCGCAGGGTGTGTGCGGGTGAGGCGCGGGCCGCTCACTCACCTCGATGGTGGGGTCATACTCGTCCACGAAGTGGTTCTGGATGAGCTGGATGGTGAGGGCGCTCTTCCCCACGCCCCCGGCGCCCACCACCACCAGCTTGTACTCGGTCATCGTCCCCGGGGCCGCGGCTCGCCACGCCCGGTGGCCTCCTGTCCCACCTGCCAAGGAAGCCCGTCAGCCACGCCCAGGCCCGGTGGGCAGACCCGTGGAGCTCGGGGCCCCACATCCAGGTTCCCGCCGCCCACCTGTGGCGTCCGCAGCCGCGCTCAGTACCCGTGAGGGGCAGGGCGGACAGCCGGGAGCATCTCCCCACCATGCCCCCGAATTAGAAGCTGCTGGGTAGGCAGAAAGCCGAACCCCAGGCGCCGCGGGCTGAGGTTACAGGGCCCCCTCCCTACAGGAACAGGTCCTGCCGCGGCGCGGCGCCCAGCAACGTGCCCGGGCAGGCCAGTGCCAACCCGCAGCCGCCCGGCCCGCCAGGCGCATGGTGCACTGAGCAAGCTCTCCCGGGAGCTGCGGACGCCACGGTTAGGACAGGGACCAGGGTGTCCTGCCACGGGAGCCTGGGAGAAAACCAGGCGGCCGGGGGCCAGGGGCGCACAGGTTGACCGGCAGGAGCCGGAGGAGTGGGAGCAGGCAGGCAGGTGGGAATGAAAGGGGCCTGAGGCCAAGGCCCCGCTGAGGGCGTCTCCGACTCCCACGTCTAATGAGGGGGCGCCCTTGTGAGAACAGCGGGCCGCCCAAGCCTCGGGCCGGCGCGGGCCCACGCCCTTCGGGGGATCCCGGGACCGTGGCGGCGGGAGACCCGCCCAGAGGGTGGCCCGGGAGGCCTCGGCGCAGGGCGGAGGGCACTGGGGGCCCAGGAGGACGGAGCCCGGAAAACGGAGCCCGAGGAGCCGGCGGGACGAGGCACACCTGGCGCCCCGGCGCCCGCAGCCCCGACCCCGCGCCGCAGCGCCCCGCCCCGCCCGCGGCTCACCTGCGCCCCCGCGCGCCCAGCCAGGACGGCGGCTCCGGATCGGCCGCCCGGCCCCGCCGCCCGACCCCAACGCCCCTCCCGCCGCGGCCGCCGCCGCACTCACCGCTCACAGGCGCGACTGCCGCCGGGGCCGGGGCCGGGGCCGGGGCCGGGGCGGGGGCCGGGGCGCGCGACTCCCCCGGGGCATGGGCTCCGACCGCGGCGGGTGCGGCTCCGGCTGCGGACGGAGGACTCGAGCGCGGGCGGCGGACACTCGCCCGGGCCGCGCACGCCCCGCCCCGCCCCGCAGCCGTCCATTAGCCCTGCGCGGCCTGCCATTGGTCGTGCGCCCAGGACCCTGCCTCCAGGCCCGCCCAGCCACGCTCCGATTGGCCTACTGGGCCGTCCGTCAGGGGCGGCGGCGGGCGGGGCTTCCGGGAGCGGAAGGCGCGGAGGGCGGTGCCGGGGTGGCTGGCCCTCGTGGGCCGCCGCCGCCGGCGCGGGGCGAGGTCATCGGGGCCGGGGCCGAGGGTCTCGGGCGACAGCTTCTCGGGGAGCCCCGGCCTCTCCCGGAAGCAGGGCGGACGCCCGGGGAGATAGGGGCGGGACCGGGAAGCCAGGCGGCGGGCGGGTGTGGTCTGGGGCGGGGTCGCCCCGGGAGCCGCTCCGGGAGCCCCGCGCCGGGCTCCTCCGCACCTCGACGGCGCGCACGGCCGGCCCACGCCCTCCGAGGTCTCCCCGGCGCCGCGCAGCCCACCGAGGGCCCTGGAGCCGACCACAGCACCGGGAGGGGGGAGCCCGCAGGTTCTGCCGAGAAGGCGCAGGGCAGGGGCCGGAGCCGGGGGTCCTCGGTGGCCCCGCTGCCCTGCACCCCTTCCCCGCAGGCGGCTCTGGGGCGGCCGCTTCCTCCCCCTGGACGCTCGGCAGCTCCCTCGGGGGCCGGGGCCGAGCGAGGCCGTGCACCGGGCGGCGGTGCAGGAGCGCCTGGTCTGAGCGGCCCGCCCTCGGCCCCGCAGAAGCTCGCGGTGCGGCCCGTTCGCCCTCGGCGCCCCGCAGACCCAGCCCAAAGTTGCGGTGGGCAGAGAACTGAAGCGCCCCCACCATCAAGCACACGGCTCTTTTCAGGACGTGTTTCTAACAGGATTTAAATGTCACAGGAGCGCACGGACACCCCCTGTCACCCCTCAGCCAGCACCCCACCCTCTGCCGGCCACCAGCCCCTCCCGCAGCTCACCGCCTGCAGGCCTTGGCCTTGGGGGCCCCGGGGGACCGTCCCGTCCCCACGACGGCCCCGCGCTCCGCGCCGCGGGCAGAACAGACGCGGAGAAAAGGCGGTGGAGCGTCCCGCGTGGACGCGGACCGGCCTCCCTTCAGGCCTCCGAGTCTTCGCTTCCCCCGTCCTGGGGGTCCTGCCCGCAGCGCTTCCTCTGGGGGTGACACCCGCCGCACCTGCAGGCGGAGGCGCCCCCCCAGATCGCCGTGGCGGGGGCGGACCCCGGGCCTGGCGGCGGCTCGCCTGCATCTCCGCCCGAGGGGCGCCCTCGCACGTGCGGGGCGGCACCGCCCGGAGCCCCAGCGCTGCCCTCGCCCGACCTTGCGCTCCGGGCCCCGCGACACCTGCCATAGCAACCGTTGCTAAGGGGTGTGTCCCGGCCCCGCGGGGCCTTAGATGGTTCGGCGGCTCATGAATATTTGATTATTCAAATGAGGTCTTGCCCCGGTTGCTATGGCGCCCAGGTCCCGCAACCCCGCGTCCGGAAGAACAACCCGGAATCGGAGAGAGCGCCGGGCGCGGAGGGAGCCAGGGCCGAGCCCGCAGGGCCGGGCACCGGGGAGCCCTCAGGTGAGCCGGCGGCGGTGGCCGCGCTGCCTCCCCGGCGCCGCGGGTGGACCGGACAAGGGCGGGGGCGAGGATTAAGCTGCAAAGTCAGAGGGGGGCTCAGCGGTGCCCCAGAAGTTAAGTCTGGTCCCTGGGGACCCTGCCTGAACCCCATCCCGGGCTGTGTCTGAGGGGCTCCCGGCACTGAGATGGGGGCCAGGCCCTGCCCCTGGGCGAAGGGGCGATAGCAGACCCTGCGGGTGGGGGTCTCCCTGGTGGGGAGAGCCTCTCCGTCGTGGTAGTGAAGGAGGGAGAGGTCAGGGGCCCACCGAGCTGATGGGCGGGGTGCGAACAGGCCGGGAGCAGTGAGGACAGATTCGGGCCAGCGCGTAAAAGTGAGGGGACAGTGTTGAGATGGGAGTCACAGCCTCCAGCCCAGGCCCCGCTAGACCCCAAGACCTTTGGGCCAGGCTGGACAGACGCTGTAGCCCTACTCCAGGCAGGCCCTCAGCCAGGGGGCTCAGGCACACAGGGAGGAGGGTGCTGGGCCCGCCCCGGGGCTCCCTGTGAGCACCCCGGAACGGGGCCTGGCAGCCTGCAGCCTCCGGGCGGCCGGGCCAGCAGGGATTCCAGGCGGAGTGTGTGCCGGACTGGGCGGTGAGTCCAGGGTCTGAGCCCAGCACAGGCCCCTGTGTCTTTAAGGAGCAAAGCCGGGAGCCAGGTGCGGGGTCCCCAGGGCCCGCGGTGTGGGGCATGTGGGAGGGGCAGGGGCTGCAGAGCGAGCTCACGGGGACGGACCGGGCAGTAGAGCCAGAACCCCTTTTGGAGACCTCAAGGGGGTCAGGGTAGAGGAAGTGGGCCGGCATTGGCACCGAAAGGACCCCATCTCTCACCCACCTGCGGGCTGCCCCAGCGGCCAGGCCCGGGCCCCATTGGTGCGGTGGGAAGGAGCAGGCTGAGCCCTGCCACTTCTGCTTCTCCTCGCTCTGGCCCGTGGCCCTGCCAGCCTGTCCGGGGCCTCTGGGCGCTGTGCCCTGGGCCGCGCCTGGCCCACCCTCCTCTCTCTCGCAGGTGCCGCCTGGGGCCACATGCCACCCCCACGCCCCGATGTTTGACCCTCAGTGGGAAAAGGCTTCTGCCTCCGGGTGAGGGGGCTCCTTGGGCACCGGGGTGGGGGACACGCCTGAGACCCCGGTCCTGGCCCCTGACGCCAGAGACCACCGGGCGGAGGAAGCGCACACAGGCTGAGGCAGGGTCTTGCTGCCGGTCACAGCGGGCAGCCAAGCACACGCTGCCCGAGCGAGACACCTCTATGGGCCCTGGAGGCAGGCAGGGAGCGGGGTGTGAGCCAAGGCCCAGGGAGGGGCGCAAGGCTGCCGGCAGCTGGGCTGGTGAGGACCCCCTGGGCCTTTTCCATACCTGGGCCGTGTGGGGCGTGCGGGCTGTGAGGCCAACCCCCACCCCCGCCGCCTTGGCCCCGCAGGTTGGACGTGAATGGACCAGGCCAGGAGCAGGCCCCCGGGCCTCGGCCCAGCATGGCACGTGTCCTTGTGCGGGAGCTGAGCTGGCAGGGCCCCTACAACCCCCTTCCGCAGAGCAAGGCCCCGGCCGCAGAGCAAGTCCAAGGCCACGGCAAGCAGCTGCTGGAGGACTGCCTGTCAGCGGCCCGGCTGGTGAGCAGGGGAGACGGCCAGGGCTCAGGCCGCAGGGCCTGCAAGGGCCATGCTCCGGGCTGCTGTCCCGCCCGCCCTCTGTCCCGCCTGCCGGCCTGGCTGGCGGGGGTGTGTCCCGGTGCCTGCTGCGCCCCTGGGGCCGAGCCCCGCTGCTTGGTGACATATGTCCGGGCCCCAGCAGGGGCTGAGCGAGGCAGGAGCTCCCCTCCCCGTGTGTGCTGAGCACCGCTGTGCCTGGGCTCTCAGGGCAGAGGGCTCGGGCCCGAGGTGCCCAGTGCAGGCAGTAAAGGAGCCAAGAACTGGTGGGTCCTCTCTGGGGCAGCTGGTGAAGGCTTTGTCCCAAAACGGGGCGCGGGGAGGGGTGTCCCCGCCATCGCCCCGCCCTCAGGCCTGCAGGTCCTACTGAGCCCTCTGGCGACAGTGGGGTGGCCTCCTGGGCAGCCCTGCACCGCCCTGCACCCTCCCTTTCCGGCCTCGTTCGCCGACCATTGGCCGCGGTGAGGGGCGGCCGCTGCAGTGCCAAGCCCTCCATCGCCGCCCCACACTCACCTGGAGGGTCCTTGGACCCCCCCATGGGGTGATGCACCTGCCAGCCTGCAGCCTGGCTGCCTGAGGTCCCGCCTCCTGAGCAGCGTGGAGAAGGGTCCGGTCACTGCAGGTGGACGGGACACTCGCACCAGGCCCGGCCCCCGTGCCTCCGCTGCCCACACCTCCCATGCCCCTGTCCCGCAGGCAGCTGTCACGTCGGAAGGGGTCCACCACCAGCTCCCGGACAGAGGACAGGGTGGGACTGGGTCTGGCCTGGCCTTGCCCAGCGAGTGCCAGGGGCAGGGTCCGGCCGGGCAGTGACACCCGTGGCACCTTGGCTGGGCCTGGGGTGCACCTGGCCTGGTCACCTGCCCAGCACCACACCCAGGAGCCTCTCACAGGCCAGGCTGGGACAGGCCAGGAGGGCCCCACGGGGGGCGCCGGGCGGGAGTGCCCAGGGCTGAGCCCCCGCCCCCCATGGTCCTGCAGCAGGCCCTGGCCCAGGCGGACGACCTGCGGCTGGTGAGCACGCTGGAGATGTGCGTGGACACCCGCGAACACAGCCTGGGCAACTTCGGTGAGAGCCCTCGCTGTCCGCCCACCACAGCCGGGCCGCGCCGCTCTCTGGGGCCGCTCGCTGGGCCCTGCCAGCAGGACCACTGCACCCACGGGCCCGCCCCGCATCCTCTGTCTCAGGGCCAGTGCCCGGGCCCCGGGAGGAGTCAGTAGCTCAGAACCCTTCCCCGGGACTTTGGGGCGCTCAGGGACACGGGCTGGGGGTGCCCATAGGCAGGCCTTGGAAGGTGGCCCCACCCATGCTCGCCGGCTCCTCTCCTCCAGCCCAGCTCCCGGAGGCCTCCACGTGGGCCCGTTGGTTCAGGCGCGCCTCCTGCGCCCCACGCTGCACCCCTCGTTTGAGCCTTGCACCCACCTCAGAGAAGCCCCAGCAGCAGGGGCAGAGGGCCGGGAGGGTGCAGAGGCGGGGCTGGGGAGCAGGCAGGCGGCCTCTGACCTCCCCGTGGCCCACAGGGGTGCACCTGCCCAACCTCAGCCAACTGAAGTTGAATGACAGCCGCCTGGGCTCCGTGAGGTGAGCGCCCTCCTGGGGCCACGGGCGGCCGCGGTGGACTGCCGTGCCGGCGTGGGGAGGCTGGCTGAGCTGCCCAGCAGCAGGCCCGGGCCCTCCGTTTTGCCTGACCGAGGCCAGGGTTGTGCCCGAGGGAAGGCAGGGAGCCCTTCTTCAGCCTAGACAGAGGCTGCCACGAGCCACACTCACACCTGTGTGGACCCGGGGACAGCAGGTGTGGGTGTGGCTGGGCACCAGGCATGGCCCACCACCCTAGGGAGCACTGACCACCCAACCCTGCCCCCTGCAGAGACCTGGGCACCTCCCTGGGCCGCCTGCAGGTGCTGTGGCTGGCGCGCTGTGGCCTGACTGACCTGGACGGCATCGGCTCCTTCCCGGCCCTGAAGGTGGGCATGGGGCGCCCCGGGCGGGGGAGGGGGCCCGCCGGCCCCGCTGACGTCCCAGTGCCGCCCCAGGAGCTGTACGTCTCCTACAACAACGTCTCGGACCTCAGCCCGCTGTGCCTGCTCGAGCAGCTGGAGGTGCTGGACCTGGAGGGCAACGACGTGGAGGACCTGGGGCAGGTGCGCTACCTGCAGCTGTGCCCGCGGCTGGCCATGCTCACCCTGGAGGGCAACCTGGTGTGCCTGCAGCCCAGCCCCTCCAGCCAGGTGCGTGCGGGCCAGCAGCCGTGTGCGAGGGAGGGGGCGCTCTGTGGCCTGGGGGGCGCCCGCACCCCGAGGCTCCTTCACTGTGAGCCAGAGGCCCGGCAGCTGCCAGTGCACCCTCCTGGGCTGGACACACTCCTCCGGGCCACGTGCACAGGCCACGTGGAACCACGCATGCTCAGTGCCTTTTCCACATAGAATTGTGCGTACACACTCACACACACACACTCACACACACACTCACACAGCCTGCAAGCCTCTGCACACTCACAGCGGCACACGCCCCTGCACTGCCAGCTGCCATCTGCTCGGGCCCATGCTGTGAGCTCAGGGCAGCCCCGCGGGCCAGAGGGCACCCCTGGATCCTGGCTGCGAACCTGGACCTTGAGAGCACCTGGGAGAGGACCCAGGCCCCCAAGTCCCTGTGCCCGAGAACGGCCCAGGAACCAACCCCACCCACCCACAGTGGGTCTGGGGCAAGTGGCCCCAGGACTCAGCTGGCCTGAAGGGCCCATGGCCCCCCGCCTGCCACCCTCTCTGCCGCAGGTGCCCCCGGGCTACAACTATAGGGCACAGGTGAGGAAGCTCGTCCCCCAGCTGCAGGTCCTGGACGAGATGCCCACCGCGCAGACCGGCCCGCCCGCCGCCCGGAAGCTGGACCAGGACTGGCTCCTGGTAAAGGAGGCCATCAAGGAGGGCAGGGTCCTGGACAGCCTGCTGCCCAGGCTGGGTACGCAGCCCTCCCCCCCTCCTGCTGGCCTCGGCAAGGGCTGCCCAGGGAGGTCTCTGCCCGGGCCTCCCCTAAGACAGAAGCTCTCGCCGCCGGCCCCGCGTCCCAAGCCTCTCAGAGGTGGGCCGCCTCAGGTGCCATCGCTTCTCAGCCTTAACCAGGCACCCCAGGGCCCTGCACACCTGCCCCCACCCACCCCACCCAGGACACTCCCCGTGAGCAGCGCCTGGCAGGGGCCCCACACCCATCAGGAGAGGAAGAAGAGCCCAAAACCTGGCCCCGGGACACACAGGTGTTGGGTGCCCGGGACCCCTGGTCTGTGCACAGAGCCTTGGGGGGCTTGGGCTGCCCAGTGGGCAGGGTCGTCGGTGACCTCCGATTTTGACCTTGGGGCAGTTCGTCCGCACGGAGACCCCATTGGAAGATTCGGCCCTGAGCGGGCGGCCCGGCCTTGGCCCCTCTCCCTCCTGGCCCCTGGGGGTCCCGTGCCCGAAGCTCTGCTTCCCAAGGACACAGCCCCAGAGGATGACACCAGCAACCTCACCCACGGTAACTGGCCTGCCCGCTCCGCAGGACGTTGACCCTGCAGCCCCTCCACCCAACCCAGGCCCAGCCACTCCTCCTTCCGCAGGCTCCAGCCAGGTCCTCTGCGGAAACCCCACCAAGGGCCTTCGGCAGCATCAGCACCGCTGCCAGGTACGCCCTGTCCCCCAGGAGCCGGGACCCAGCACGCACAGGGCGCCCGTGTCCCGGGCTCCGCTCCCAGAACGGCCTGGCGCCCTGGGCTGTCCTATGAGTGGACAGCACCCTGGCCTGCCAGGGCCCCCAGCTATAGCCACTGCGGGGCCAGGCCCCGGCTCTCCCATGCCCTCCGCAGCCGGACAAGTCCTTCTCCCCCAGCCTGCTGCCCGCCCCGTCCCCTCCATGCCCCCAAACCAGCCCTTTCCCTTCTCAGACCTGGGTGCCCCCAGAACAGCTGTCCCCACTCAGGCCTGAAGACCTGGCCACCAGGGCCTCCACCCCAGGGCCTGACCCTGCAGACAGCCGGGACCTCCTGGCACTGGCCGGACTTCGGGCGTGGAGGGAACTGCGGTGGGTGCCTGTCCCTGCACGAGCCTGCCACTGTGTCCTGTGTGGTGGGGGGCCGGGCCGGGGCCGCGCGGCTGAGCAGCCGCTGGTCCCAGGACGGCCAGAGGAGCTGGTAACGGGAGCCTGAGGCTGGGTGCCATCACGGCCCCACTCGCTTGGGAATGGCTCCAAGGCGGGCAGGCTGCAGCCCCTGCCCCATGCCGGCCCTTTCCCCTGCAGGTGCCTGGATTCTGGGCCGGCAGGGGCAGCGGCAGGGGCAGCGGCAGGGGCAGCGGCAGGGGCAGCGGCTCTCCCCGGCCCACGGCTGGGCCCTGAAGAACATGAGGACAAGGCTGAGCCCAGCTCCCCAAGCCCGGTCCCAGGTACTGAGGGCCACAGCCAGGGCAGGAGAGCCCCCCCCGCCCCGGGCTCTGAGCAGGCCATGACCCCAGAGGTCCTCTCCTGGGGGGCTCACCGCTGAGGGGACAATCCGCAGAGGCCCTCCCCCGAGGCCACCAGGGCTGGACGGGAAACAGAGGCACAGAGAAGGGCCGGGCTGGGCCGGGGCAGGAGGGGCCATGCCGATGGGCAGGACGGCCGGGCAGCTCCGGGGAGCAGGCCGGCTCTGGCAGAGGGACAGGGCCCAGCGGGCGGGCAGGAGACCGGCCTGGGAGGGGTGCCTCCCTCCACCTCCGGACAGGTGAGTTCCTCCCCGAGACACTGGCTTCCAGTGACAGGGGCAGAGTGAGCAAACCCAGGGGCTGCGACCAGAGGGGCCTCCCCGGGGGCAGCGAGCGGGGGAGGCTTCCTGGAGGAAGGGCCTGAGCAGGCGGGACAGCCGGAGGGCCAGCCCAGCCAGGGCCCTGGTAAGCAGGAGCACGGCTGGAGGCTGGCTGAATGGCTCTCCTGACCTCCCCCCGCCCCCCCTCATCAAGGGTACAGGGCCAAGCCTCTACCTGTCCACCTGCCGGCCTGGGGGGAGGGGCAGGAGAGGGTAGACCCTGAGATCAGCTAATCAAGAGGGGTCGAAGGCCAGCTGCCTAGTGGAGGGTGAGAAGTCACCAGAGAAGACCAGAGGAGTGGCCGGAGTGGTGACAGACACCGGGGCTCTGGAGGAGGGGGAAGGGGAATCAGAGCCCCCCCATTCCAGGCTGGGTCCAGGTGGGCACTGGGTGACCCCGGACAACTGCCCCGTCCGCCAAGGTGGGTGCAGGCTTTGGTCTACAGCAGAGGTTTGGAACTGGCCGAGGGCCGCCCGCCAGCCTGTGAGCAGGCCCTTGGGGGCAGGACCTGGTGACCCAAAGCCAGAGCCCAGGAGGGGGCTTCCGCTCAGGCTGGGGTCAGAGGGGACCCCGGGGAGCAGGAGGAGGGCAGAGGGGCACTGCCTTGGGGAGCGAAGGGTTAGGGGAGGAGCTCCAGGGGATGCCTCCACCCCATGATCCCTTGGGGCCCCGGTCTGACAGGCTCTTTTCTTGGTTTCCAGGGCCTTCCAGGACCTCGGGCTGTCACCTGCTGCCCTCTCCCCCCAAGGTCCCCATGCCACCTGATTCCAGCGGCAGCTCCTGGGGGTCTAAAGACCTGCACCTCCGGGGGCGTCGGCTCAGAGCCCTGGGGCGCTCGGGGCCTGGCCTGGGTCCGGGGCTGGTTGCCAGGGCTGCTCTGAGATCAGCCCTGGAGGTAGCCACAGGCCCGAGCTCTCCAGCCCAAGGATGTCCAGGCCCCAGGCCAGCACCAGACCCAGCAGCCAGCCCGCCAGCCCTGTGGTGTCTGCCCTGCCTGAAGCCCCTCACCCCAACCCAGTCGCAACCCTAGTGTAAGCCCCGCCCACTGCCGGGCTGGCTGGGACGGGGCCTCACAGAACCCAGAGCATCTGAGAGGAGAGGGGAGGAGGTGGGCCTGGCACAGGAGAGGCCCCTCTTGCTGGACAGAAGTGGGGAGTTGGGACCACCAGGGAGGAGGCGCAGGAGAGAGCCCAGCCCCCACTTCTGTGGGGCAAACCTTCCCAGGCCTGGAAGAGACCGGATGCGGCCCGGCCCCTCCACTTCCCCCCAGCCTCCCCTGGAGCTGCGGCCCTGGGGCCCGGGCCCAGCGCCTCCCTGGGCGTTAAAGCCTGCGGCCAGGCCCCCCATCCCGGACGGACCTGCAGGGACGGGGCGGGGCCACCGGGAAACCAAGAGAATCTTTCCGACTCTCAAGTGTACAGAATGCAGTTTACTTCGTAGTGACGCTGGTTCAATAAATTATGCAGCTGGCACTGCCTGCCTCCCACGGCTGTCTCCCGTGGCCCCCGGCGCCCGGCCCCCGCCCGGCTCTACACCGGCCGGCTCGTGGAGACGGGGATGGGCGGGCAGCTAAGGAGGCGGAAGCCGAACCTCTTCTCCCTCATGCTCTGCACCGACAGCGCCACGAAGGGGCAGTCCCGGTCCACGGTCTTCCGGCTCACCTGGGGGCAGGGCGTGAGGGCGGGGCGGGGCCACGAGGGCGGGGCCGGAGCGGAAGGGGGGTAAGGGGGCGGGACCAGCTGAGGGGCGGGGCTTCGCGGAGAAGGGCGGGGCTAGAGCGGAAGGGGGCGTGGGGGCGGGGCTGCATTGGAAAGGGCGAGGCGTTCCACTCGCGAAGCCCCACACGCGCGCACACTCACCCGGATCCTCTGCTCCTTGTGCTCCTTCCCTGCCTGGTAGTCTGCGAAGCCCGGCCCGTCCGCTGCGGGGGACAACGGTGAAGGGGGCGTCGGGCCGGCCTCGCCCATCCAGCCGGGCCGCCCGGCCCCCCGGCCCCCGCGCACGCACGCTCACGGGGCAGGGCGGGCAGAGGCTCCCACGCGTCGGTCTCGGCGCGCTCGGGGGTTGCAGGCACCTCCCCGGGGCTGGAGCGCTTGCTGGGGGTCAGGCCCGGCAGCAGGGTCGGTGACCTGGTGGGGCGAGGGGGGCGTTTGCGGGGGCAGAGCCTGGGAAGAGGCGGAGGTCCAGGGACCCACGGTCCCCACCTCGGCCTCCGGCGGCCCCGGGCCCTGGGCACCGGATGGCTGCGCGGGGGTCGGGGCCGGCGCCCCTTCTCCGGAGTGTCGGCCGCAGGCTCGGCGTCCGGGAGCGGGAAGCGGTCGATGGACACGGTGGTGTTGTCCTCGAAGGTCCTCGGGGCGGGCGTCACGCTGTGCGGAGCCTGGAACTGGCTGAGGAGCTGCGGGCGGCGGGCAGGGCCTGGTCACCCGCCGCCTCGCGCCCCCCCCCCCCCAGCCTCCTTGCGGGGACCCGCACCCACCTCGCCCTTGGGGCTCAGGAGCAAAGTCACGAAGCTCCCGCTGGCGTGGAAGTGGCGGGGGCCCCCGCCCACGGACGAGGGCGGCTGCTTGGCGCCGCCAGGCCCCTTGCCCCGGCCCCGGGGCCCGCGCCGGTTGCGCGCGGGCGCGGGGGGTGCGGGGCACACCGTGACGTGGTGCCGGGGCTCCAGCAGCGTGTGCGGCGGGAAGCGGTACAGATACACCGGGAAGTCGTGGTCCAGCTGCTGCAGCGTGTAGCCCCCCAGGTCCACCGTCTCCTCCGTGGACTGGTTGAGGACCCGGATGAACCGCTCCCGAAGATTCACGGCCACGATCTTCAAGCAGGAGCCCTTCCAGCTGGGGTGGCGGTGGCTGGTCAGGGCCCTCCTGCTCCCCGCCCTCCCCCGTGTTCCCCCCTCCCCGCCTCTCCCTCACCTCCAGGGGCGCGTCAGCGTCAGCGGCCAGTCGTCGGAAACCTTGCGGGCCTTGCGCACCGGGCCGATCCGGTCTGAGAGTGAGAGGGGGGGGGGGGTTTGGGGGTCTGTTTTGGAGCCAGACCCCACATGGAGCATTTTCTGGGGCAGGTCCTGTGCAGCCAGCTGGCCTGCAGCGCCAGGGGTCGGGCGCAGGAAGGGGGGCTGGGCCCTAGGGGCTGAGGGGGGCAGAGGAGGAGGTGTCCGTCCGAGCTGGAGCACGAGGCCTGCCAGACCCCCTAATCCTCCCAGAGAGGCGGACGGAGCCGCTCAGCAGGCGGCTGGGCTGGGGGACCTGGCCCAGGGCCCCCGCCAGAGGTCGCCAGGCCTGCAGGGCAGAGGGAGCGCGCAGGGGGCCGCCCAGCCACCTTCAGACCCGGCCTTGGAGTCCTTGATGGAGCTGCGGAGGGAGCTGCGGAGCGGCGCGCCCTCGATCACCCTGATGACGCTGCCGGGGCGGAATTCCTGGGCGCACCAGGTGGAGCTCCAGGCCCAGGAGTCCCCGGCGAACCTCCAGCCGCTGGAGTCCTGCGACTCCCTGGGCAGGATGATGCGGGGCCGATGGTCCTGGGAGCTCAGGGAGCTGCGGGTCCGCGCAGGGATATGCTCCGCCAGCACATGGCCTGGCCCCGGGGTGGGGCGCCTGGGCGCCTTGCGGAGGCGGCGGCGTTCGGACGTGTAGGAGGTCTCGGAGCTGCTGCTGCTGCTGCTGCTGCCGCCGCTGTCACCCACGACGGGCAGGGAGCTCCACTCCACGCTCTTGCGTTGGGAATGCTGTTTGCCCAACCTGGAGGCCTGCTTTTCCGGCTTGCCCTCCCCGGAGCCAGGGGTTTCCGTCGGCGAGGCCAGCGGGAGCTGCGGGATCTGCCGGTGGGAGGTGCGCCTGCAGGCCACAGACTGCTCACCAGCTGCGGGGCTGCTGCTCCCGGACCCAGCCCAACCCCCAACGAGCCTCCCATGGTTGGCGGGGCACCCCAAGTGGGTCCAGGGCCCCAGGACTCAGCCTGGGAAAAGGGCACTTGGCAGGACAGAGGTGGCCCGGAGCCCTTCCCTCCATCCCCAACCCTGTTCGAGCAATCAGGGAACAGGTTCCAGGCACTGAGGGTGGCGCTTGGACTCTGGCCCTCCTCCGCTGCCCGGCCAGGCCAGCCCTCCCTCCCCAGGCCCTGGAGGCATCCCTCCCTGCCCAGCACAGTCACTTGGATTCCGAGCTCGAGTGAATGCTGGCCAGGAGGTTGGGGTATCGATGGGCGATGGCGTTCCAGTCCACGTCCTCCATCCGGAAGCCCTGCCCACGAAGCAACAGGCATGCGGCCCTCCCCTCGCTCGGAGCGGGGGCACCCGCGGGGGACCTTGCTCACCTCATGACGGGAGGAGCCCTCATCCTGGTCAGAGGTGTCGCTGAGGTCCAGCAGGGTCTCCGCAGTCACCACCTGCAGGAGGGACTAGAGATCAGTGGGTGGGGCTGGGGGGCACCTGTCCCCCCAAGACATCTCTCCCCTTCGGCCTCACCAGCCCCCAAGCCAGACACATGCTGACTGCCAGGCGGGCCAGGGTTTGTAGTTCCTCCCTGCCTCGGGCCACAGTCCTGAAGGGGGTGGGAGGCAGGCTTCCCCAGCAAGCCAGAACCCCCCAGCAAGAGCGCAAATCTGGCCGCTGGATCGGGAGGCAGGAAAGTGGGCGGGCCGGGCTCACCTCCACACTGCCCGTGGAGGACTTCAGAATGCGGCCCACCCAGGAGGTGCTGGCCAGTTGCATCAGGCAGGATTTGTGCAAGCCTTCCAGCTCTTCCTCCAGCTGGTGCATCACGGTCTTGGTCTGCTCCAGCTGCTCCTCCAGCTGCTGCTTCTCCTGCACCAGGAGAGGCCGACGGTGGGGTGGGGCCCTCTCTGCCTCTGCCCTCTCTCCAAAGCCAGCCCCTGCCCAGCGCCCCGGCCCGCTCACCAGCTGGGCCTGTTCCTTCTGCTTTTTTAACTCCAGAGTCAGCTTCTGGACCTGGGTGTGCAGGAGCTTCTCCTGACTGCGGGAGCTGGGAGAAGGGGGCGCTCAGTGCCCCCCCCCCCTGCATACTGGGTTGGCCCTCAAGGAGGGGAGCGGGAGGGGCCCGGGCCAGCCAAGTCTGAGAGGTCGGGGTTGGAGGCTGGTCCTGGTTGGGCTCAGCACCCCGACATGTTCAAGCTCAGGGTCTAGGCGGGTGGACAGTATATCAAGTCTTTCAGGATTAGGATTAGGCAAGAGGTAGGGTTAAGTGAGGGTCAGGGCGGGGGTCAGGTTGGGTTCTCGGTCAGCCTTGGGGGTGGGGTGGGGTCAGGCAGAGGCCAGCCGTGGCTGGGTTGGGCGGGGGCCTAGCTTGTCGCTGCTACCTCTCCCTCTCCGGTGGAAGCCTCGCCACCTCACGCAGGATGCGGGAGCGCTGGGCATCCCGCTGGCTCTGGAGGGACCGCAGGGCCTGGATCTCCAGTTCCCGCTGCCTCCACACCAGCCGCAGTGTGGGGGGATCCAGGGACTCGGGGGCCAGTCTGCAAAGCCAGCACCCCAGCTGCCTCTCCGGCCCCAACCGCGGGCTGGCTGGCCTGCTTTCTGAGTGGCTGGCCACCTCCCTCTGCCCTCCTTACGGCAGCTTGGTGGAGGCCACATGTGTGGGCCTGGGCTTGGTGTCCCTCCGGGGGGCGGGAGCCACGGGGCCTGCAGGTGTGTCCGCCGGAGGCTCCAGGTGGCCGTTGACTGGCTCTCCATCCGCCAGAGATGGGAGAGCCTCTTCCTTGGCTTCTCCAGCCTCCGAGAAAGACTTGGGGGCCATTTTGGATGTTCTTGGAGAAGCTGAGAGGGGTGGGGGGGCTGTATGCCCTGGATGCCACCGGCATGCACTCCCTCGGGCTCTCCTTAGCCTCCCGCGTGGATGCGGCTGACAGCCCCAGGCAGCACCCCTGGGGCGGCTCTCTGGGGAGTCCTGTGCGTGTGTCTCTGCTCCAGCGGACACCAGGCTGTGGGTCATGCGGGTGTCCACGCCTGTGTGCTCCTGACCAGGCCAGGGCAGCAGGTCACACCGCTAGGCAACACGTCACATGCGTTTCCGTCCATTCTCTGGGGTCTCCTCGCTATCAGCTTTGCCCTCCAGGCTCTGAGGTACCCACCCCAGCCTTCAGCCTACAGCAAGGGTCCCAGAGGTTCTGGTCCTTTACCCATGATGCCATGTCCCTTCCTCCCCACCTCCCAAGACCCAGGGCCCTACCTCTGACACTCACCTGAGGCCTGAAACCCAAGCAGACCCGGCGGAGAAAGGCTCTGTAGCATTGCCATGGATACCAGCACCAGAAAGGGAGGGGCTGTTTGTTACCAGGAGCCTCCAGGGTGACCCCAGACCATGGCCCTGAGTGAGCCCCAGCCCCCCCACCTCCTCATCCTGGAGGGCTGGCCCAGCCTGAAGGAGGAGCCCAAGGTAACTTCGGAAGGCCCAGGGCACACGAGTCCCCAGCAGGCCTGCCATGGCCATCCTTCAGCCCCACAGGCCCTGCCCAGCCAGCCCATGGAGCTCCATCAGCGAGTATTGGGGACTGCTGTCCTGGGAGTGTCCGCACGCTGCAGGACCACCCTCCTGAGAATTTGGACCTCACTGGGCCGAACCCGCAGGAGGGGCAGAGGAAGCAGTGGATGGTCCCAGAAGCTGGGGGAGGGGCTTGCTGAGTGCCCAATGCCCACCTACCTGACCCACAGCCAGAAGCCTCACTTTCCCCTCCATCTCCACCACCTTGTCACTAGGGACGCCTGGAGACATCCCCATAGTCATGACAAGTGTCCCCTCTGCCCAAACCTGACCCACAAGGCAAATGGCCTCCAGCCTTGGTCCCCCACCCCACGGCACCCCACCTTCACCCACTGAACATCCATTTATTCAGACCTTCAGCTTCTGTTCATGGGGACCTCCTGTGGTGGACAGGACATGGGCAGGCGGGAGGACTGCCCGGGGTCCAGTCCGATTAGGGCAGAACTGGTTCTTTTTTTGTTCTTTTTTTCTTTTTTTTAATATTTACCTGAGGATTCCCATTGATTTTTAGAGGGAGAGAGGAAAAGACAGAAATATCAATGTGAGAGGAACACATGGATTGGTTGCTTCCTGCATGCATCCCCATCGATCTGGGCCCCCCGCGATTGGTGCCCTGGACCGGATTCCATCCCGGGACTCTTCGGTCTGCAGGTCCACGTTCTACCCACTGAGCCAAACCGGCTAGGGCAGGGACCCTGGCCGGAGAGCTGGCTTGGGCTCTCCCGCGGGACAGCAGGACTGGTCAGGCAGAGGAGCGTGTCCACAGCGCAGGAGGGTCAGGAGGGGTGGAGAGAATTGGGCTCAGGCAAAGAGCCCAGGGCCTTTGTCACCAGCACTTCCGAGGGCGGGCCCCTTCCCCCACCAGGACGGCCAGCCCGGCTGCAGCGAGAGGGGGCCGGTGGCTCCCCAGCCCCCCGGCCCCACGTATCCCATGACTGCCGCCGTGGGAGCAGGACATGGGGGCCGGGTTCTCTGTGGGCGCTGGCGGGCTTCGGGGTCCCGGGCCCCGCCTTAGATGGGTCAGGTTGGGCGGCCTCTGAGGCCGTGGGCCCGGGAATGGGGCCAGACACCTGCCCCACGCGCCGCCTCGGGCTGCAGGCTCGCGCTTCCGCGTAGCTCGCGGGCTTCGGGTGTGAGTGGACCCGAGCTCCACCGGCCACTCCGCGCCGCCAAGCCCCGCCCACACCTGGGCGCCGAAGGGGGCGGGGCTGGCGGGGAGCCAATGGAGAGAGGCGGAGCCCAACGAAGGTGGCCAATGGGCGTGTGCGAGGGGGTGGGCGGGCGCGTCAAGAAACCAATGCGAGCGCGCGGGGCGGGGCCGGGCGGGCTGCGGGCCAATGGGAGGCGGACAGGGACGCTCCGCGGCGCCGGAGGCGGCAGGTTGCCGCGGCGCCGGGTGCGGGGAAGGAGTCAGTTGGAGTTCGGGTCCGGAGGCCGGCGGGCGCCCGGGTGAGCCGCGCGGAGTCCCGGAGCCTCCCGAGGCCGGCGGCGGCTCCGAGAGAGGCTCAGGAGCCGGGCCGCGCGTGGGGGCCACACCTGCGCCCGCCCCGCGGCGGGGACGCCGGCCTCTCCAGCGAGCGCCGCGATCGGCGGGAGCGGGCGGGGGCTGCCTGCTCCCGGCGCGGTGGGTCCGGAGCGCCGAGGTCAGTCCCGGGGCAGGTGCGTTCCCATGGCAGCGGGGTGCAGAGTCGGCATACGGGCGCCCCTGGGAGCCGGGAGGGCGCCCCGCGGGAGGGGCAGTGTCTTCCCCGCCAGGTGACTGGGGGGGGGGGTGCAGGAAGTCCTGCATCTGGTTAATGATTCTCCTTGTTCCGGGAGTGGGGCGGGGCCAGGGGAGGCTGGCAAGTGGGGAGGCCTGGAGTGCTCCTGGAGGGCCGACTGGTTCCCCGCTTTGGGGGGCTGGTCCTGAGTTACCCCCACCCCAGGAATGTGTGGCCTGCGGGTAGGGCTGGGCACAGGATAGCAGGGCGGCAGCTCGGAGCCAGCTCTGTGGGTGAGGGACAGGCCAGGGGAGCAAGAAGGGAGGGCCAGGCAGGGCTTGGCATTGTGGCCCTTCCCTGCAGGACAGGGGCATGCCCTGTGGGCCCGCCACCATGGAGCTGAAGGTATGGGTGGACGGCATCCAGCGAGTGGTCTGCGGCGTCTCGGAGCAGACCACCTGCCAGGAAGTGGTGGTCGCACTAGCTCAAGCCATAGGTGAGTCCCCTCAGGGACAGACCGGCCCAACAGGTGGACCTGGGGCGGGCTGGCCCTCGGGTCCCATCTTCCCCCAAGGAGGGCGGGGCTGGCTGCCGATCCTTCTCGCCCTCCCCTTGCTTCTCCATCTAGGGGACGAGGGGTGGGGACGGAGGCTGACCCCGCACCCCTCCCCAGGCCAGACGGGCCGTTTTGTGCTCGTGCAGCGCCTCCGGGAGAAGGAACGGCAGCTGCTGCCCCAGGAATGTCCCGTGGGCGCCCAGGCCACCTGTGGGCAGTTCGCCAGCGATGTCCAGTTTGTCCTGCGCCGGACAGGGCCCAGCCTCGCGGGGAGGCCCTCCTCGGACAGCTGCCCGCCTCCTGAGCGCTGCCCAGTCCGCGCCAGCCTTCCCCCAAAGCCCAGACCCGCACTGGACCGTGAGCCCCAGAAAGCACCGGCCTTCGGCCCGGGGCACCCCAGGCCGGCCTCCGGGCCGGCGCCGCCTGAGCCGGTGGCCGCCGTGGCACCGCTGCCCGGCCCCAGCGGGGACCTGCAGGCCCTGGAGTGCAGGCTGCGGAGGAACGCGTCGGAGCTGGGCCAGGAGGCCTTCTGGGAGCGGGAGCTGCGGCGGGAGCAGGCGCGGGAGCGGGAGGCCCGGTCCCGGCTGCAGGCGCTGAGCGCGGCCACGGCGGAGCACGCCGCCCGGCTGCAGGCCCTGGACGCCCAGGCCCGCGCCCTGGAGGACAAGCTCCGCCTGGCCGCCGAGGCCCCCGGGCCCCCTTCGCCCACGGCGTCCGCCACCGAGCGGCTGCGCCAGGACCTGGCCGCGCAGGAGCGGCAGAGTGCCGAGGTGCAGGGCAGCCTGGCCCTGGTGAGCAGGGCCCTGGAGGCCGCAGAGCACGCCCTGCGGGTGAGCTCCTGGACCGCGCCCGCACTGGACACGGGTGGACGTGGGGGCGGTCCCGGGCTCCGGCCAGGCTCACGGCTGCGCCCACTGAGGGTCCCATGTGCCCCAGGCCCAGGCCCAGGAGCTCGAGGAGCTGAACCGGGAGTTGCGCCAGTGTAACCTGCAGCAGTTCATTCAGCAGACGGGGGCCGCGCCCGGCACGCAGGTCCGTGGTTCCCGAGGAAGGCCGGGCTGGGGCGGCCGGGCTGGGGGGCTCCGCCCAGCTCCCAGCTGACCTGCTTTCCCCACAGGATCTCATGCCTCCAGCCAGAGGACAGCCCCTCCCAGGAGCCCCCCGGAGTCCTGCCCTAGTGTCCAGTCTGAGCCCCGAGGGTAAGTCTGTCTGTCCCACTCTGGGTGGGATGGGGTCCTCCTGTGGCCCCCCAGTCCCCTCAGCCTGTGTCCTCTCCACAGTGTCCCCCGTGAGGCAGAACTGGAGGTAGCAGCACCTGCCCCTGCCCGGAATGAACGTCCACTGCCAGCCCAGCCCTGGGCTCTGGTGACATGAGCGAGGGCAGCCAGGGCCAGCCGAGCCTGGACCGCAGAAAGATCGGCGGCCATGGAGGACTCATGCCCTATGCAATCGGAAGCCCTCGGGCCCTATCCTGAGACAGAACACCCGGACCTGGGTCAGGAGGAGGCTGAGGACTCTCACCCGGTACTTGCCAAGCCTGCGAGCCCCCTGGAGAAGCTTGGGGCGCGGCCACTCAGAACTCGCTACGCCCCAAAGGCCACAGCTCTGTGGGGCCAGAAGACGCCTGGATGCTGTTTTTAGCCTGCGGGTCTGTGCTTGCGTGTGGGAGGCATCCTTCCATGCATGTGCGTGTTCAGATGCGTGTGCATGTTCAGGTGCGTGTGTACACGAGTGTGTGAGTGCTGCCTTCCCTACCACGACGCAGAAACCTCAATAAACTGCCGGAAGCGGCTGGAGTGTGTCCTGAACGGCCCTAGGCAGGTCTAGGAGGTCTGACAATGGGGCCCCACCCAGGATTCCTGGGGTGTACCCCAGCTGCCGGGGGCTGGCCACAGCCAGGGGTCCTGACAAGGGGGCTCCCAGGGTCAGTGGTCCCCTGGCTCCAAGGCTGGGGCTCCTCGGCCTTCCATTTCAGGCTGCCGTACGCCCCCCCTGCAGCCTGAGGCTGGTGTTGGAGTTGGTCAGGCTGGAGCCAGGGCTTGGTTTTATCGGACGCGCTCCCTCCTGGGCCTGCTCCTCCCCAGCAGGAGCTGCACCCACGCCGGGGTCCCCCGGAGAGGAGGACTCGGGACATGCCAGACCTGCCTGTCAGGTTGACTAAGGCGGAGAGCTTGTGGGTGGGTCCCAGGACTCTTGGCCGGGCCCAGGGAGCGTTGCCCAGAGGAGCATTTGAGGCCCGTGAGGGTGTGGCCGCCTGCCTGCCTGCCAACACCCCCTCACTCCCCAGGTGGGCGGGCCTCTGTGGGGAGCCCGCAGCCGGAAGTCGGGCTGACAGCCAGCTCGCAGTCCTTCCCTGGGCTGGGCCTCAGCACGGCTCCGCCGAGGCCAGAGGCCTCTGTGACGGCCAAGACGGGGGCTCTGCCTCAGGTGCAGCCACAGGAGCTGGGGACCAGGATGGTGACATCCGAGGTCAGTGGTTGGCAAACGGCAGCTCGCAAGCCAAATGCGGCTCTTTGGCCCCTTGAGTGTGGCTCTTCCACAAAACACCACGGCCTGGGCGAGTCTATGTTGGAGAAGTGGCGTTAGAAGAAGTTTAAGTTTAAAAAATTTGGCTCTCCAAAGAAATTTCAATCATTGTGCTGTTGGTATTTGACTCTTTTTATTTTCTTTTTTTATTTTTTTTAATATATTTTATTGATTTTTTTAAAAATATATTTTATTGATTTTGTACAGAGAGGAAGGGAGAGAGATAGTTAGAAACATCGATGAGAGTTGCCTCTTGCA